TTATGCTGTAAATAGCTAGCTTATTACTTTATTTACTTTTCACTTATTAACTGATTATCTGATTATCTGATTGATTGAATTATTGATTGACTAATTAACCAATTGACCAGTTGTGAGGACTGTGGGGAGACGTTTACCCAACCCTATCTTCTAAAGAGGCACCAACAGAAACAGCACGGAGTTAGCTTTAACACGTGCACTCACGAGAAGTGTGGTCAAAAGTTCCCTGGTAGGTGGTGACGTCACTTTCACTTTCACTTAAATCGCTTTCACTTTCACTTCATCTCTGGCTGAGTTGTGTACACTGTACTGTGTACAAATCGTTGTGGTTCACATTGTAAGTTTGCGATGATTCCGTGTACTGTGAGTATAGATTGTACTCTTTAAAACTATCCTTAGTATGAGCTGGTAATTTTCCTATCTTTGTAGTTCACACTGTTGTTGATTGTTACCCGTAATCCACACTACTCCTTCGTCTATACTTCTATACTTCTATAGACTTGCAATTCTTTTGTCTCCTTACAAATTCTACATTCATAGCGACATGTTACCTCACTTGACACTCACTTTCAATACCGATTTCCAGATCACCCCTCGTTACGACGTCACGTGGATCAGACACACAGTAAGAGAATGGAGTACCCCTGTGTTATCTGTGACGAGACTTTCACCGACAGAATGCACATGTTCCGACACAAGTACGAGGAACACAATATAGAGTGTGATTTCATGTGCAGAGGGTGTGATAAGTTCTTCGATGATTTGAAGGTAAGTTATTGAGAAGTCAATTAATTTGTTGGTTTTACTTTAGGATAATTATATATGTTCTAGGGATCATTTAGAAGAGATGAGCCATACAGAATTTTGAGATAGGCCTTTAAACATTTTTAAGGTCCAAGATTTTCAAAATCGCCCAAGATTTTCAAAATCGAATAAAGAATGTTTAAAGACTTATATCTCAAAATTCTGTCTGGCTCATCTCTTCTCAATGATCCCTAGAACATATTATCCTGAAAGTTTCAAGGTGATTGCTCAAAAAATGTAGGAGGATTTTTAGACTCGATTTTCAGGACACGCGATTGAAAATCGTTCGCACAATACAATTACACATAAGCGCTGACCTTTGACCGGCAATAATTTCGGCTAGGAAAGTAGGAACAATAGTTTTCCATGGGACCAAAAGCATCTGATAGATATAACTCCCCTTTATCAGAAACAACTATAAAGTCAATTTCGAGAGAATTTTGATGAAGACCCCCCGGCCCCCTTAATTGCTCACAATATACTCTGAATGTTGTAATAATTTAAATGATTTACGTTTGTTTTTTGACACTTCCTCAACTTGTTATTTTTAAATGGTTTTAATCGCTGTCGCACCGAAGTTTGAGGAACTATTTATCGCAATATTACGAATTTCGCCGAACATAAAATGCTATTGATATTTCAAAGCTGGCATGACATCGTTTCTCTAATGATAATTTACAGGCACTGAGAGTTCATAGTAAACAGGAGCATGGCAGTGCGGCTGAGTGGCAGTGTAACCAGTGTAAACAAGTATTTATGCAGGTACCTACTAGTTTCACTTTCACTTTAAGCTCCTTCACTATTACCTATAGTTTCACTTCTAGTGAAAGTGAAACCTGTTTAACTATTATAACCTATAGTGTTGCTTTCACCTCTCATGTATTAAGGTTTTTGTTTACCATAAATCGAAATTGTATGATTTATTGATTTATAATTAAACCTATTAATTTTATTAATGAAATAATTAATACTAATTAATGAAATAATTACAGAGAGCCAGTATGGATAGGCACAGATACGAAATACACAACACTTTCATTGATAGTTTTTGTGCTGAATGTGATAAATTCTTTGAGGGTGAGTTATGAGTCGGGCTTGATTAAAATCAATTACCGTAAAATTATCAATTACTGTAAAATGTTCACTAGATTTGAACCTTCGGAATTGTATGCACCTGATGGTGTACTAACTCTGAATTCTGATTTCTTATCTATCCAACGTTAGATGATAGAAGTATTATATTATAGTTGATAATATAGTAACTGTAATATTGTTAATCTAGATCCGAGGAGTATTATCCGTCATAACAAGGAGGTACACGGGAAGGTGACTGACTGGCAGTGTAACAAATGTACAGCTAGTTTCAACGCTAGGTAAGTGTGTGACAGACTAGTGGTTTGTGGGAAAATTCGTTAATAATGTTATATTATGTGAAATTTTAGATTCTCACTAAACTCACCTTATTAGTTTATTGTTTAGTTTGTTCAATACTTGCAGCAGCAGCAATCATCTTAAAACGAAACTACCGAATTTCGATAAAACTATTAAAAATATCAAAATATACATATTATTGAACAATAAATTATCAAGCTAAAAACTCAGCAGAGAAACGGAAATTATTTTTATACTTTTCAAAACGTTGCACCAGATCACAGTGGTGTACGGGAATTCATGGAAAATTATTATCATAACAATTCTGAATTTACGGGTAATAAGACAGTTGAATTATTATTAAAAAAACAAAAGAATTAATTAATTAATTAGCCATAATTAATAATACCAATTATATTTAATTAATTATATATATTTAAACCATCACACCTCACGGTCACCCGGTTCCTGACCTCTCTGACTATAATTATCTTTATTCGCAACAATCCACTGCAACTTAATAAGATCCCTACTCGCACTATTCAACCAATTATTAGCAGAACTCCCCAGCCTTCCCCGGGGCACACTAGGACAATACATCCTGGGGACCCTTGCGTGGGGAGTAAGTGACAGAAACACCACCGGGTTCAAACATGACAGGAATGTTGGTAGAAGCACGTAGACCGTGAAACTCACGTAGAATAAATACATACTGAGTTTAGCTGATTTGTTAGTGTGCAGGAGCATCGAGAGAATCTTGATGAGGGCACTGGTGAGGATTAGGGATCCTACGTTTGTGATTAGGATTTTAAATGTTCTCCGTTTGCTGTCGTTGTGCTGTATGTAAAGGTGGGGTTCTGGTGCGATCTTGTTCTCGTTTAACAGATGGAATATGGTACCTAGGGACGCTAGGATGGAGGATATCTGACAGATAATCAAAGGCCAGCTCTGTAAGAAGAAGATATGAGTGTAGTTGTTAATCTGAAACTTGGTGCCAGTGAAGAGCGTCATAGTGACAACAGCTCCCAAAGGGTGGAAGTAAAAAGCAGTGGAGTCTGACACTGAGTAGTACTGAATACAAACAGAGTACCCCAGATAAAGCACGAAGAAGATTACACAGAACCTGATTTTAACCGGTCTAAAAGGGAACTTGAGCTGTCTGAACCGGCATACTGTTAACAGAGCTGTGATACAACTGGGGGACTTGAAGAGGATGGTGAGTATCAGTGTGGTGAGTCTCTGGTATGTTGTGGTGGGTGTTCGGGTGATCATACCTTCACATATAGCCCCGTATTTCTCATGTCTGGAACATTTGGGAGCCCCTGGTTCTGCTAAGAGCTTGATGTGGTGAGCTGAGTAGACGAGACATGTCAGGAAGTCGAGCACAGAGAGGATTTCAAAAAGGAATTTGGGGAGGGAGTTCGGTTTACGGTAGTTGTAGATGAAGACAAGTGGGTTGAGGGCAGTGGAGAGGATGGTGAAGGTTACTAGGGTTGCTATGAGGAGGGTGTCAGGGTATGTTCCTGCTCCTTCACTGAACAACGACATCCTGGTGGGGAGGCGGTTAATATTGGGAGATGCAAACTAGCTGATAAAATGTTTATTTTAGTTCAACATGGCGGGAATTATAATCTAGAATGGTGATTAAAAATATACAAAACATTGAATCTGAAAGATTAAAAACCAAGACGAAAATTTGAAACAAACTCAAGCAAGAATATTCAGCAATGAGCAATTCAAGGGAAATGAAATCTCGATAGTTTAAAATAAAGTTGTCAGATAAATCTGGAGTATTGGCTAGAGACATTATGTCACCCCAGTAATCCTTAACAAGAATTGCGCCCGTTGTTTCGTTTTGGCGGACGCTAGATTTCCATTTCACTTTAACTATTAATATAAGCTCTAATCAGCTCACCTTATAATAATAATATTGAAACATCAGTAGACTACGCGTGCCACATTCAAGTTGGGCTTATTACAAAATACTATACATTACTAGTATAGTATACATTAAAATACGCTCGTGCCCCGCATTCATTGACCACAGACTAGCTATACACCACATCTCCGCAAGCAATCCCCGTGCGCGTGCGCGCGGCAAGTTGACATGGTAACGAACGGAAGCAAGTAAGGAACACGACATATATTTGACCCACCTACCGCTATCTCCAAAATCCACGTTTTTCTGCAAAAACGTCCATTCGTAACCTTTCACTATTGCCTTTTTTCAAAAGGGTAAAAATGAAAAATCGTCAAACAGATATAACTGCCTTTAGCTTTAGGAAGTCTTTAGTTTGACATTATCTTCAAGTTGATATAACGTCAAATTCACGTGTCGGTTAGGAATAGTTATATCTATGAATTAAATAACACCACAACGATAATCAACTCGACAGTTGAAAGTTTCTGCCGAAATTCGAAAATCAATTCGGAAGTTGAAAGTTTCTGCCGAATCTCGAAAATCACCTACTATAAAGTTAAACTGTCAATTTGAGCTGAGCAATCTGCCACTCAACTAAGCACTCAAGAACAGAGAGATGATATTTTATCTAAATACCCATAAAAGACGTGATCTTACGGGACAACTTCAACTGCTTAGCTACTTCCTTTTGATTGAAGCCGAACTTCAGGTCACTAAACGTTTAAAAGTTTTAAAAAGCTCGACCCACGTGGGAACAACGTTTCAACTGATATAAATTTCAGTTAATATCCCCTTAATCAGAGATCCCATGTAACCTCATAAACACGAATAGCTAGATTAATTGAGGTTTCCACGTATCATATTTTAAGTAAATGGTTACAATTTAGCCAATCAGAATAAAGATATGAAGACGTGAAGATAAAGACTTAGTAAAAGCTTATGACATATTTTGAAGGCAGATTAATAAAAGCAGTTTCAGGGGTACGGGTCTTATATTCAGGGGGCCGGGGGGGGGGGGGGGGGGTCTTATATTAATCGGCTCCTTGACTTAAAAGGAATTGTCAATCCAATCAAGATAATTATATGATAGACAAATACATGCTAGCTTGAAATCTTGAAGCACCGTAAGAATTTGAATAGCTCTGAATTTAAGAAACAATTACTACGAACTATACACAATTAAGATTCACTTTTGTTGAATAATCTGCAAGGTCCTCTGAGGATTGAGGCCAGGTTCTTCAGCCTTTCTGAAGAATAATGTTTGTTCTACAGAAGAGCTCCTCTTGATTGATGTGATGAATTAGCGCTTCTGTGGGCTGGTCAGCATCATGGTTGGATGGCCTAATGGCATGGTGTGTATTGGTGTATCAGTGGTGAATATATTGATGTAATGATAAAAATGAGGCGCTTCCTTGCTTCTAGTGCTAATCTCTGACAAACCTTCATCTTGGAGCACAAACTGGCGTCAACATGAGCTAAATTGAAGGGTGTTGTCTGACAGACTGACAGGGAGGGTGTTGTCTGACAGACTGACAGGGAGTTCACGTCTCTGTGAGGTGTGGTTTAAAAGGTGTTGTCTCACAGCGTAGTGACAGTGATACAATATGTCTTAGGTGGAGGGTTGTCTTTGCAGCAAGCAGAGGAGGGATTAATCTGCAGCTGTTATGTAAGAGTTTTCACGATGCTCTAGCCTATTTCTAAGTCAACGGTCACAGATGGCAAGATCTGGGACTCCCAGATCTTGCCATCTGTGACCGTTGACTTAGAAATAGGCTCCCAGACTGGGAGCTGCATTAGTGTGGTTCCTGTGAGTCGGTCACCGTAATGACCACTTCAACTGTATAGCTGTATGTGTAACATTTCAATTAGAGACCTAAGTATGGACTATGTCCGTATGTCCACTGTCCAGCATTCGACAGTAGAAACTGAGATGGTTAAAATCTTCTTAATCATCAAGAAATGAGGTTGTCCGTGTTGTTCTCTAACTCTCTAAGGTCTTTATTCCAACTGTTGGCAGTAAATTGAGGTGGTTCCACTTCCGATAGGTATAGTCTTAGCCATATTTTAGCGGGTTCTTGGCATTCTTACGACTTTACAAAAGATAAACTTACAACGACATGATAAGTCAAACTATCATATCAATATATAACCAACAAAGTGATAACATGAGACATAAAGGCGATAGATAATGTTATATGGCAAGTGTTTAGTGATCCTATAAGAAGCATATTGTAGCCTGTGAGCACACCTTATATTAGTATTATATCAGTGGATATTCACAAACAAAACGATAATACGATCATTATACTGTGATAATATTGGCAGCGGTACCCGTTGCGTGTGTTGCGAGAACTAATACTGGTAATGCATTATATTATGTAATTATTCATTATATAAATGTTATTATTATATTTATGTTACCAGTACTGAGGTCAGAGTAGTCGTCTAATTTTATTTCTAAATTATTTTGTCCCAAAATTGCAATATCTTTATAATCGGTAAGATGGGGGAGGGAGAGGGTCAGAGGGTGGGGGACGGGTGACATTGTCATCTTTACCTGACACAATAAAGTTCAGAACAAAAAAGTGTTAACATGTTTACCTGAACAATGCTCAATTCTCATGATAAAAACAGCCAGCCCGCCCGCGCCCCCCTAGTAAGGGGAAAAGTGGTCGATTTAAGGGTTCCGTTGGATTTGAATGTTCACAAGGATTTCTCAACGGAATATGGTAGTTAGGACCCCTACGAACATAATTAGACTTGTTGCCAATTTTGTATCTCAACAGAAACACCACTTTTACCACTTTTTACCACCTTTGTACCACTTTTCTGGTTTGCCAAATATCTTTAGTTGTGAACGTCGTAGAAGGCTGAAAATTAACCTAGAATGTTTATCTTATCAAGGAGTAAAACTTTTGTATCAAAAATTTTTACATTGGACAATCAGCTAATTGGATAATTACCAATTAGTTAATCACCAAAAAAAGTGAAAATTTTTTATTGGCTCAAAATGATTGAAATCGTTTGAAACACGGAGAAATGTAGTTTTTAGAAAAACTTCAAAAATTTTTCACTTAGAATTTTTTTTCGAGACTTCAAAAAAAAAGTTTGAAAATTTGAAAATATTTTTTTCCGCCAAAAGTGATCGAATTGCATGAAACGTGGATAAAAATGCCTTGCAGAAAAATTTCGAAGATTTTTAGATTGAGGAATACTAAAATCATCAATATTTGAAGTTGGAGTTCAGTAAATCTCGACATATTTTAGTAATTAGGAATAGCTTAGCGGAAAGGGCTGGACCTGAAAAAGGTTAACCACACAATATTAGAGTTTCGTAACTAATTACAATACAGCTTTATCAAATTCCACATAAAGGAACAGCACAAAAGGACCATTTAAGATCGAACCGATTTTACCTGCTGTACTATCATTTTATTGATTTCAATGATCAAAACCTCTGTCAATCTTGCCAATCTATACCGGGTATCTGAATGTACCGGACCTCTTATTTACCTCTATAATTAGACCCAGTTGTGCAAGAAATGCGATTTCTCACAGGGGTTTCTTTAAACTGTGCACTTTTTATCACTCTCGCAACTCGCAAGAGGCCTGGTATTATAGGGGGGGGGGGGGGGGGGGGTATAGGAAGCGAGTGTAAATATACCTTCCATCATCCATTGTGGCTTTTTTGTATTGTGAATGCGCATGTCGCTTCGTTTGCTATGCCATATACCTCGAATAACCCCCATATGTCATTGCCAGGGTCGGGATAGAGCTGGAGATAGCATTGAGAAATAGCTAGATTTAGAGTAAACTGGTGGTAGCTGGGTGGTGCTAGCATGGATGTAGCAGAACGTAGCTACACGGGGTTTCATTGGAGTTGGTTATTTTAATGGCCAAAGAGTGCCGGAACTAAAGTTACTTAAGATTGCAGTTTAGGGGCAGTGTAAACCACGGTGTAGTCAGGGACACAGAGCTACAGTGCAGGAGTACTGCAAAAGAACAGTGCAAGTGATACAGTCTGCAACAGTAAAACGCCGACGAAGCTAGACTTAGAGTGAACTGATGGAAGCTGGGTGGTGCTAAAATGGAGGTAGCAGAACGTACTACATGATGAAAACAGGAAAACTAAGGCTGGTTGAGACCTAAAAAGATGTGAATCTGTCCTGATAGATCCAGTGAAGAGCGAGTAGCGAAGAGTTTGATCACTTACCTAAAGCTCTAAACAAGAAGAGGGCTAAAGAGACTCACTTTGATCAATAAATCCGGTACGGCAAGGTCTGTAGCCTTGATAAGAAGATACCATGAAGTAATTCATGCAGAAAAGTCGATTTATATAAAGGGTTTCGTTGGATCTAAAAAGGGTGGGTCAGTCTCTCTGTTTTCATAAGATTCTGATGAAATGCTGTTATGCTCAGGACGGTGATCTTAATAGGTCGGATAGCTGTATCTGGTTGCTTCCAGCCCACCCTTGTCGCTTGAAAATAAGTTCTCACCCCACCTCTTCCAAAAATACAGTTACCAGAGCAGAGTTCTTTCAACACAAACACAATCAGGTTCCAGCTACTCTCCTCCTCTGCAGCCACAATCTTATCTCCTTCTTCGGAGTTTTACTGTTGCAGACTGTATCACTTGCACTGTTCTTTTGCAGTACTCCTGCACTGTAGCTCTGTGTCCCTGACTACACCGTGGTTTACACTGCCCCTAAACTGCAATCTTAAGTAACTTTAGTTCCGGCACTCTTTGGCCATTAAAATAACCAACTCCAATGAAACCCCGTGTAGCTACGTTCTGCTACATCCATGCTAGCACCACCCAGCTACCACCAGTTTACTCTAAATCTAGCTATTTCTAGCAACTTTTCAATGCTATCTCCAGCTCTATCCCGACCCTGGCAATGACATATGGGGGTTATTCGAGTTATATGGCATAGCAAACGAAGCGGCATGCGCATTCACAATACAAAAAAGCCACAATGGATGATGGAAGGTATATTTTAATTTACACTCGCTTCCTATACCCCCCCCCCCCCCAGAAACCCCTGTGAGAAATCGCATTTCTTGCACAACTGGGTCTAATTATAGAGGTAAATAAGAGGTCCGGTACATTCAGATACCCGGTATAGATTGGCAAGATTGACAGAGGTTTTGATCATTGAAATCAATAAAATGATAGTACAGCAGGTAAAATCGGTTCGATCTTAAATGGTCCTTTTGTGCTGTTTCTTTATGTGGAATTTGATAAAGCTGTATTGTAATTAGTTACGAAACTCTAATATTGTGTGGTTAACCTTTTTCAGGTCCAGCCCTTTCCGCTAAGCTATTCCTAATTACTAAAATATGTCGAGATTTACTGAACTCCAACTTCAAATATTGATGATTTTAGTATTCCCCAATCTAAAAATCTTCGAAGTTTTTCTGCAAAGCATTTTTATCCACGTTTCATGCAATTCGATCACTTTTGGCGGAAAAAAATATTTTCAAATTTTCAAACTTTTTGTTAAGTCTCGAAAAAAAATTTTAAGTGAAAAATTTTTGAAGTTTTTCTAAAAACTACATTTCTCCGTGTTTCAAACGATTTCAATCATTTTAAGCCAATAAAAAAATTTTCACTTTTTTTGGTGATTAACTAATTGGTAATTATCCAATTAGCTGATTGTCCGATGTAAAAATTTTTGATACAAAAGTTTTACTCCTTGATAAGATAAACATTCTAGGTTAATTTGCAGCCTTCTATGATGTTCACAACTAAAGATATTTGGCAAACCAGAAAGGTGGTACAAAGGTGGTAAAAAGTGGTAAAAGTGGTGTTTCCGTTGAGATACAAAATTGGCAACAAGTCTAATTATGTTCGTAGGGGTCCTAACTACCATATTCCGTTGAGAAATCCTTGTGAACATTCGAATCCAACGGAATGCCACTTTTCCCCTTACTACCCCCCCCCTCCCATATCAAATATTATTATCCCCCTCGACATCACAAGTCAAAACTTTACCTCAACAGGTCTGGACTAGACAAACACAGAGTTATGATACACAACGAGCAAGCAGACTGCATGTGCGATGAGTGCGGCAAATACTTTGAGGGTACTTTATTAACTTATTTATTAATTTATTGACTTATTCAAATAGATTTGTTGATTTTAAATCAACTATCTGGTATTTAGCATGAGATAAACTTAGAAATTATTTTCACTTCATTTAATAATACTATAGCAAGTTGTTCGAAAGCAGTTTGTCGATTTAATAAAATTATACAATTTGTTTTTACTTCTCAATATAAGACGAGTTGGCAGAATTAGTGTAAAAATATATTTCCTTGTATTTGGAAAGAGCTAAAATATTTCCTTGTGTTTTGAAAAAAAAGGTAATATTTTCCTCTTCCACAGCTCCCCGTTCACTACGGCGACACAAAGAGCAAATGCACAGCAAGTATAGCGAGTGGTCATGCAGAGATTGCAACTACACGTACACCAACAGATCCGAATACGATCATCACAGGTTTGACGAAAAAATGATAAAATTCAATTAATAAGTACCTAATAAATAAATAAATAAAATGTAATTAAGTAATGAGATCAAAATATACTTGATGAACACAACAGGTTAAAGGATGGCATCAATATGTGATTATATTCCATTCTAAATAATATAAGGATAACTGTAGCGTAAACATTAAAGACATTTCGGTAGAAACACAAATTTAGTGAGTCTGATAACAGCCTGACATGTTTTGAAAACAACTTATCAAACATATTCGAAGAAATTGGAAATTTTATAACATTTAATTTATAAATTCTTGTAGAAATATTTTTGATGACGTGTGATGATGTTTGTGTCATTATTTTTTGATTTGATTTGTTTCGAGGAATATTCTACAATCTGGTAGAAGTTATGTATGAAAATTAATAATTCAAGCAATTAATCACGCGGGTCACCAGCGTCGCTGGTGACTTTGAAAACGTTTTTTTTTAAATGTGTTACATTGGTACTAGGTACTTATAATAGGGTTAAAATAAATGTCCGTTCTTGGGCCAGTTAAATTAAAAGCTAAATTCCTGCAGGAGCAAAGTCCACCAGGATGAGAGCGATGTTTACTGTAACGACTGTGACCAGTATTTCGACAGTAAGTTCAGTTGTTATTTGTTGTGATGTTTACTGTAACGACTGTGACCAGTATTTCGACAGTAAGTTCAGTTGTTATTTGTTGTGATGTTTACTGTAACGACTGTGACCAGTATTTCGACAGTAAGTTCAGTTGTTATTTGTTGTGATGTTTACTGTAACGAATGTGACCAGTATTTCGACAGTAAGACGTAAGTTCAGTTGATATTTTTTATTCAAATCAATATAATATTATGATGGTAACTTAATTTAGTTCAATTAGTACAGTGATTATCTGGTCCCCATCTGGTCATTGCCTGAGAACTATGTTCTCAATTGAACTTTAAAATGCTAAAACTAAAAGTCGATTTGGTGACTTTAATTCTAGTGAAACTAATCATGCCGAAACTCAAACTTATGCAAGTTGAAACTCAAAATATTTAATAGTTAGAGTTAACTCAACGACTCAAATGTGTGGTTCCCAAAGCTTAGGGAGATGTTAAACTCAAGAAGTTTGGCGATCTTAACTCAAACAAAACAACTCGAACGAGTCAAGCACTGCGTAGAATATAAACTGTTGGTAATAGCTTAACGCACTAATCAAGTGCATCAGATCAGAACAACAGAACGAGCGTTGCTGAGCCGTGATTTAAATCCTCCCTTATCCAATCCCAGGCCACCAGTACAAAACTATCAGCCAATCACAGGCCACCAGTACACAATTATCAACCAATCATGATGAAGCATTCAAAAACGCGTACCCAATCGCAAGACGGGACTCATTTAAGTTGGGGAAGCAATTAAAAGCATAGTAGGTGCCATGATAGAAGTAGCTAACTCTGACAACCTCTTGCAGTAATTTGTTAGTGTTTTAGGTGTTTAATGCCAGAGCGGGTGGGGGGGGGGGGGTGGTAAAAATAATTTGTCTTGTTTTAACATGTGATAGAGCTGCTGGAGAGTGGAGACGAACAAGAAGGAAGCAAATGCCTCAAAATCTGACCTTGCTTTCCGTAGATATTGTGTTTTCATTTGAGGTTTTAAGAGAAATTACAGCTCTATCAAATATGTTAAAACTATAAAAATGATTTTACCCCCCCCCCCCCCCGGCCCCCTCTGACTTTAATGGATTGATAGCGAGGAAGTAAACTACAAGAAAATGCTTTCTTGGGACCGGTTGAAAGATTGAACAATTTGTCGTATCTGAGTTAATCAATATAACGTCATGTAAATTGTAAGAAAATATTATAACGTTATTAAATGAATTTAAATACTGAGTAAAAAGTCAGGAAAATTTTATAATTTTGATTAATTAGACTCAACGAATTTTAGAATTTCTCAAATTTGATTCATCATACATATTTCATAGATAAAGTCAAGGGACACCCACGAATATGTGTTGTACGTGTGGGGGTTACAGAGTCAGACGAGGCCGCATAATTAGGAGTGGGAAGTGGGAAGTGGGGAGTGGCGAGTGGCGAGTGGCGAGTGGCGAGTGGCGAGTGGTGAGTGGCGAGTGGCGAGTGGCGAGTGGCGAGTGGCGAGAGTGGGGAGTGGTTCCTCAACCTTAAATGAGTTACAAGCTAGCTTTTAACACTAACCGGCTAGCTATTTGTCTACTGGTGTTACAATGATAAGTGTTGCATTACGGAGCTAGTTTAGCTGCCCTAATTCTCAGATTTTGTAATGCAGATGCGCAGAGGTACCGAAAATGTTCCACTATACTAAACCCTTTTCATTTAAGTGGAGTAGTAATATAATGGTGGCAATTAAATGCCCAAATATTGTGACCATTTGAAGATTTGCCATGTATCGGGGGAAATAAATCAATCATCGGGCGTCGATACCCATTACCCAACAATGTAAGTTTCAGCAATTTTTCTGCCTTGTTGTGCTTCCTCGTCCGAAACATTCTGAAAATGCCAATGTTATTAAACCAACATTGTAATTTTCAGCAATATTTCTGCTGAGGAAGCACAACAAGGATTTACACGGACGGGAAGACGAACTCATGTGCAGAGCCTGTGATCAGACATTCAAATCTAAAGCAGCCAGAGATTCTCACAGGTAATGTGCCATTGGCCACGTCACGTGATCATAACGGCCCTGTTCGTGTAGTACACTTGTTCGTGTAGTACACTTGTTCGTGTAGTACACTTGTTCGTGTAGTACACTTGTTCGTGTAGTACACTTGTTCGTGTAGTACACTTGTTCGTGTAGTACACTTGTTCGTGTAGTACACTTGTTCGTGTAGTACACTTGTTCGTGTAGTACACTTGTTCGTGTAGTACACTTGTTCGTGTAGTACACTTGTTCGTGTAGTACACTTGTTCGTGTAGTACACTTGTTCGTGTAGTACACTTGTTCGTGTAGTACACTTGTTCGTGTAGTACACTTGTTCGTGTAGTACACTTGTTCGTGTAGTACACTTGTTCGTGTAGTACACTTGTTCGTGTAGTACACTTGTTCGTGTAGTACACTTGTTCGTGTAGTACACTTGTTCGTGTAGTACACTTGTTCGTGTAGTACACTTGTTCGTGTAGTACACTTGTTCGTGTAGTACACTTGTTCGTGTAGTACACTTGTTCGTGTAGTACACTTGTTCGTGTAGTACACTTGTTCGTGTAGTACACGATTCTATCTTTTTAAATCACGGTTGAGGACCTGCACGGAAGGATCATATATACTCGAGCTATTAAGCTGTAGATATGATCATAGTTTGTAATAATATGTAATAATACGTCTTACAGGGCAGTCTGTAAGACGTGTTATATAGTTATATATAATATATATTATATATATAATATTATATAACTAACATACCTGCTGTTTAATAAACTAGGTCCTGTAAACTAGGTCCTGTAAACTAGGTCCTGTATCTAACTATTAACTGTATCTAGGTACCATATCCACGAGGATGAGGTAGATACTATGTGCATGGAATGTGAGCGCTTCTTTGAGGACCAACGAGCTCTTCAGCGTCATATCAAGGTAAAAACCACTTGGTTACTACTAGTAACAACCACTTCACCAGTATTGAATCAGTTTCACCACTTGGTAACTATCATTTATGCAGTAACTCAGTAACTGCACAATAACCATATTATATAGGCAAATTCCCCATTTATCATGCTGTTTTCCTTTCGCCCAAAGTGTACGTTAAATTGTGGTTTGACTGTAGTTAACACTTAGTAACCACTTAGTAACCACCTAGTAACCACTTAGTAACCACTTAGTAACCACTTAGAAACCACTTAGTAACCACTTACTAACCACTTAGTAACCACTAAGTAACCACTTACTAACCACCTAGTAACCACTTACTAACCACCTAGTAACCACTTACTAACCACTAAGTTACCACTAAGTAACCACTTACTAACCACTTAGTAACCACCTAGTAACCACTTACTAACCACCTAGTAACCACTTACTAACCACTAAGTAACCACTAAGTAACCACTTACTAACCACTTAGTAACCACCTAGTAACCACTTACTAACCACCTAGTAACCACTTAGTAACCACCTAGTAACCACTTACTGACCACCTAGTAACCACTTACTAACCACCTAGTAACCACTTAGTAACCACCTAGTAACCACTTAGTAACCATATTACAGGTATCACACACCAGCAAGAAGCCCATTTTCACATGTGCTGACTGTGGGGCAGGGTTCACGTACCCAGTACTAGTGGACAGACACAGACACGAAGAACATGAGGAGAGCATTGAGACAATGTGTATCAGCTGCGACAAGTTCTTTGAGGTGAGTACTTTAACTAATTTAATTAGTTAATTAATTAGGTAATCAATCAATCATCTAGTGTATCATACTGCTGAAGGTCGCTCTATGGGCGGTTTAAAACAAAGCATCAGTGCTATAAATCTAAAAAAAGGCAGCGACACTGACAGGATTATTTTGCAGGAGAAGAAGATGTTAGAGCGGCATCTGATGCGTGCGCACGGGGAAGGAGGAGAAACCCTGGACACAGCTGCTGCGCACAAGATCTGGACCTGTGAACCGTGCAACCTTCTGTTTAACCAGAGGAGTAGATTACATGCTCATCAGCACAAAATCCACAATGAGCTGGTGGAACACTGTGAACACTGCGCTCTATACTTCGAATGTAAGGCCAAGGAGTAAAGTTGTTTATTGGTATTAAAACATCAGTTTAAACAACATGTTTTAACGACAATTTTCTCAACACCACAAAGAAATATTTAAGTCGGAACACGGCGGGTGGGTCTTAAAATGTCCGGCCGCATATTTCTCCATGCTCTTTAAATATTAAACCCCGTGATAACCTTGTCTAGTCATTGACCACTGATAATTGAAATTTTAGTAAAAATTGATGATCTTAATATATTCCTTTCCCTGGCGACAAAGTGGGGAAGTAGAGATATTATTAAAAATATATTTTAAGAATATTTTCTTCTTAAAAATCTACATTATTTTATGAGACGTCAGAGGATTTCTTAAAAAAGGCGACTAAAATTTGCACAAATCGCTTAAATTTAATCACAATAAGTTATGTTCGTAAGTAAATTAATCAATTTAATTAAACTCCTCTCAGCAACAACGGAGTTCAAACAACACATGTTTGTAAAGCACGGAGTAGATATCAACTGGTCCTGCCCTAAGTGCGACGAGGCTTTTGATAAGAAGGTAAGCTCAATTATTAGTAATGATTAGTAATAATCTTAATTATTAATGATGATTAGTAATGATTATTAAGTTCACGTCAAACATTCTAAATGATTAAGTCCAAGAAGGTATTGATAATCAGATTATAATAATACCAGTGGTCAATAATAAGAGATTACTCAGAGAAAGAAATAGAAAATCAGTTCAAAAATATAGAAATCCGTCCGAACGATTTTGTCAGATAAGCCGTAAAAACTCAACACGGATTCACAAACCTAAGTCTCTAAGTCAACGAATTTTGGAAATAGGTACTATACTATTGAGTTGAATCTAATCCCAGTCACTATTGAATACAAGCTGCACTGTTGAACAACCCCAGCAATAAAGTATACGTCAGTAGCCCCGAATCCTGGTTTAAAAGCGCCGCTTAATAAGGTAAAAGGGATGCAGTACATCAGGGTACCTACCATTACCACTTACCAGCATTGTGGTTGTTTGGGGGCACCATTAAGTGGTACCTGCATTAGATGATACCTTCAATTCATTTAGAAGGAAACTAGTTTCACTTATCCTACCTAGCCAGCTATTACCTTAAATTCATTGTTAACAACAAACTTTGTTATTAATAAACTGTGAGGATCCATGGGATTATATTTGAACTATAAATTATTACTACTAACCAAAGTGCATCAGATAAATTTTATCAGCACCACAATGACGTAATATTATTTAAATCGAAACACAGGAGTAGGGCCTTTAAATGGGGTACATATTATCTCGGTATTTCTCCAGTCTCTTTAAATATTTAACCGCGTGATTGATTCATAACCCTGTCTAGTTATAATTGATATTTTAACTTTTTAATTAAAGTTGGTGGTTAACTGAACTCTAATAAGTGCATCAGACAAAGCCATTGTTTAGAAGATATGAAAATTTGTTCATTAAAAGATTAAAGCCTTCAGCTGATGGTAATGAAGTTGTTTTGTTATTAACCCTGGCTTTTACATAATGCATATTTTCTGGCTGGAATTTTAGGTTCGACGATTAAAAATTTGAATGAACTGCATGCCACCGTACGGATGAACAAATAGCATTTATCGATTTTTCATGATTGAAGATAAAATGGACCTTTACTGATAGTTGAAATTCGACATATGACGTCATCTAGCGTCATCTAGCGTCATCTAGCGTGAAATATCGCCAGATGATGATAGATGACGCTAGATGACGCTAGATGACGCTAGATGACGCCAATTAGCGACATTGTCGCTAAGTGCACGGCACCTTTCGAATGTCGCTATCTAGCGCTATCTAGCGCTATCTAGCGCTATCTAGCGCTATATGACGCTATATGACGCTATATGACGCTAGATGACGCTAGATGACGCTAGATGACGCTAAGCACGCAGCACTGACGCCAGGCGACAGATAGCGCTATTTTCATAAAATTTCCGCCCTTTTTTTTGCGACATCTAGCGGTATCTAGCGCTATCTAACGCTATATGTCGCAACGACATCTGACGCAGCGCTATCTAGCGCTATCTAGCGCTATCTGGCGCTATCTAGCGGAGAATGTCGGTTTGTGACAGTTTACGCTAGATAGCGCTAGATAGCGCTATCTAGCGCTAGATATCGCGGCGACAGCTAGCGCTAGATAGCGCTATCTAGCGTAAACTGTCACAAACCGACATTCTCCGCTAGATAACGTTTGTTAGCGCTAGATAGCGCTAGATAGCGCTATCTAGCGGAGAATATCGGTTTGTGACAGTTAACGCTAGATAGCGCTATCTAGCGCTAGATATCGCGGCGACAGCTATAGCTATGGCTATAGTTGTTAAACGTTAAATATCTAACGTTGGTTATAAGTTTTATTTTTAACGTTGCAAAACGTTTATTATTTGACGTCAGATCAAGGTTACCTTATTAACTATAAGCAGAGTTTAAAATTCAACTACATTTTAAAGTTGTATGTAGGTTACATATAAAACGTTGTTAAACGTTAAATATCTAACGTTGGTTATAGGTTTTATTTTTAACGTTGCAAAACGTTTATTATTTTACGTTAGATCAAGGTTACCTTATCAACTATAAGCAACGTTCAAAACTCAACTAAATTTTAACGTTGTATGTAGGTTACATATAAAAACTTTGCCGGCTGGTATAGGCTTAGACTAATATTTTGAGAAAAAGCGGCGCGTGATAGTAAATTACGAGTATCACCCGTTAACGAGTGAGATTCGTCCAGTATAACCTGTTTATGCTCTAACCAAAGCCCTCTCGCTAGTAGTACGCTTAGACACATGGCTATGTGAAAGAAGATGATGTAAAGATCTAAATGTTAAATTAGCATTTGCAAATTAATAGTATTGAAATCTAGCACAGCAAGTTATTAAAAGAATGTAATGAGAGTCGAGCCGAATTTATTGTTCAGTAATCACATATATCGTACCCACGAGTTTTCAGTTTACGAACTACGCGCAAGTGTGAAGTGCAAGCGCGAAAGCTTTAGTGCAATTTAGCTACGAAAATACCAAAACCCTTAAAATGCGATGCATTCAGTATTTAGAATTAATATATTATAAATTTATAAGTTATGTCAATCCTCTTACCTGGGGACCCAGGCTATTATGTACATGTTCATAAACATTAAGATTTGGCGAATAAAGATTTGGCGGAATGACAGGCTGAGCGCGGCCCAGTAACAATCCTCGGGATCGGAATTATTTTGGATGAATACTTTACAGCTTTGAGCTTCGAGTAATCTATTTGACGATGTTTGTTATGTAGCGCGATGCACTACTGGGCCGCGCCGCGCAGCCAATAATATAATGCTTCTTGCAACCACTAGTGCTTTACTAAACATACTTGGTCAGTACGTTACTGTATGTACGAACTTTTAAAAGGTGTCGAACTGTACAAATTTTAAAAAGCTGTCGAGGAATTTTACCGAATTTTTTAAAAAATTTTTGTTTTTAATCAGTAATCACTTCAGTCCGAAAAATTTGTTATTTTTGTCCGGGAGGTTACATTTCAGATTTAAAATATTAACATGACATGCATCCGCACGTCATCGTTTCCCGCCATTTTAACACAAATTTTTGCAATTAGCTTTTTATTATATATTTCGAAAATTTATGAGGCGAATTTTTCCCAAACTAATCCCGAACTGAAAAAAACGTGCCGAACTGTACGAATTTTTACGACTTTTGTACGAACTGACCAACTATGTTACTAAATTGGCGATACGCACCATGACTGGGCCTCGCCGAGCTGTGAACATGAACAGTGAAGGATTGACATCGTGAATCAACGCGATGCGTTACTGTGAGTGTGTCGCGCCTCGCATCCAAAAATGCTTCTCGGTATCCAATAATGCTTTTCGGCGAAATGCACCACTGAGCTGTGAAAGATTGGCATCATGAATCAACGATGTTAGTAACTTGTATAAATTTCGTCGAAATAGTACGTGCCGCTTTCTTCCGATCCCGAAATGTTAAGGGTCGACGGTCGTTTACATATTAGTATTACGTAATCAGCTGAGGAGGTTGGGGTTTTCAAATGATTATTGATTACGCTAGTGTAATATTGACATAAATATAATAGCTATGGTAAAACTGATTACGGGGTATGTGAACGACCCCTCATTGTTAGTAATCAGTTCCATACATAGCTATTAAGCTATTAGTATTATGTCACAATCAGTCAATCACACTAGCGAGCGTAATAATTTGGAAAACCCCGGCCGGCGGCATCAGGCCCTTTATATAATTATAATATGTAAACGACCCCTTGATTAAGTGATATTTAATATTTTGTTCCACTCAGCCGAATATTTGATAAATCGAGTGTAATAGTTGGGTGACTTCGACGAGCCGCGCAAGCTTATAGTTATATCATTTGCATTCTCACTTAAATTATAATTAATTTTCATACACAGTAAAAATTAATTTTCATATAAATAAAAATAACAAAAAAGATTGGGTGGGAAAAGACAGGCTGCTCTTACGGTCCCAGTGGCAGTAACGCACACACACACACACACACACACACACACACACACACACACACACACACACACACACACACACACACACACACACACACACACACACACACACACACACACACACACACACACACACACACACACACACACACACACACACACACACACACACACACACACACACACACACACACACACACACACACACACACACACACACACACACACACACACACACACACACACACACACACACACACACACACACACACACACACACACACACACACACACACACACACACACACACACACACACACACACACACACACACACACACACACACACACACACACACACACACACACACACACACACACACACACACACACACACACACACACACACACACACACACACACACACACACACACACACACACACACACACACACACACACACACACACACACACACACACACACACACACACACACACACACACACACACACACACACACACACACACACACACACACACACACACACACACACACACACACACACACACACACACACACACACACACACACACACACACACACACACACACACACACACACACACACACACACACACACACACACACACACACACACACACACACACACACACACACACACACACACACACACACACACACACAGATTTAGGATTACTGTTACTGTGATAGGATATGATATCTTGTGCTATAATATGTAGCGACGACATCTGACGCAGCGACATATAGCGCTAGATAGCGACATCTAGCGCTAAATAGCCTGGACTGTCACGACCCAAAATTCTTCGCTATTTAGCGCTATCTAACGCTATCTAGCGCTATATGTCGCAACGACATCTGACGCTATATAGCGCTATCTGGCGCTATATAGCGCTAGATAGCGTGAACTGTCGTAAACTGACTTATCCCGCTATCCAGCGCTTGATGTCGCCTGCGTCAGATGTCGTCGCGACAGATGTCGTCAGATGACGTCAGATATCGCTAGATGGCGTCAGATAGCGTCAGATGTCGCGGCAACATATGACGCTAGATGACGCTAGATGTCGTCCCTAGAATTTTTATGAAAATAGCGCTATCTGTCGCCTGGCGTCAGTGCTGCGTGCTTAGCGCTTTAGCGTCATCTAGCGTCATCTAGCGTCATCTAGCGTCATCTAGCGTCATATAGCGTCATATAGCGCTAGATAGCGCTAGATAGCGCTAGATAGCGCTAGATAGCGACATTCGAAAGGTGCCGTGCACTTAGCGACAATGTCGCTAATTGGCGTCATCTAGCGTCATCTAGCGTCATCTAGCGTCATCTATCATCATCTGGCGATATTTCACGCTAGATGACGCTAGATGACGCTAGATGACGTCATATGTCGAATTTCAACTATCAGTAAAGGTCCGATAAAATTACCATAAATTAACACTGAAACTTCGCATTAAAAGATTAAATACATCAAATTAATATATTATCAGAAACTTGAATTAATAATGTTTTAACTTCAGGTGGATCTAGATAAGCACAGACGAGACATTCACTACGAGAAGATCAACACAATCTGTCAGTATTGTGACAAAGTATTCGAGGGTAAGTCATCTTGGTATGGAGAACATCTGATTCTTAAATAATATGAAATCGAATAGCAAGCACACACGGTGAAATAAGAAACAAATTAAGCGTCATTTTACTGAAAGTTAAGACATGTCCATTAATGTGAACCTCGACTAAATGATGAGTTGCTAGACCACAGTTCTCGACAATTTTCGCACCGTCCCCAAACGAGATCTCGAAACCCATTAGAAATAAATTTCGACCCGCCTATATATATTATGTTTTTGTCGAACATAAGATCAGGTACCGTGGGTCGGTTGGGTTATGTCGCAGAACCTGTACAATTAAGACAGGGCGGTCGGACGGACTACCCCACCCCACTAGGTGGTTACTAAGTACCCCACCCCACGAACTGCAAAACCACTTAAAGGTTTAAAGGGAAACTTTATGACTTGACATGTAAACTATATCATTGAAGTTATATTAGGGCCGGGGCACAAATGCCGAGTAGGGGACCAGGTCCATTAAATTAAGCGGATTTAACAGATTTTATTAAATTACTGAAATTGTCATGCTAAAAACAGAGTGCTAAAACAGAGTGCACAACATATTTAAACTAATCTGAGTTATATATATATTATTATATATAACATAATAGTACATATCATGATATTATAATGAAAATATTACGAATTATTGTTAAGTAAACTTTTTTAACCTTGATTGTGATAACTGTGTTAAAACAGAAATTTTACTCACGTTGCACGTAAAATAAACTAAGATCCTTTTTTAGTTGGACGGTAGCAGGTAAGAGATCTTGTTTAAATGTGGTGTCACTAATATTCCACTGTGTTGCTAATGGAGCTATTTTTAGGGCGAGCTATTTCTAGGGCGAGCTATTTTTAGGGCGAGGCAACTGTTCATTTAAATTTTCAACAATCGACGGAGGGGTTAAATTAGTAATGCAGTGGCCAAATTTCTCTGAAATTTTCAAATTGATATTATTTTTATTAATTAACAAATATATCAATTAACCCTCAATTAACATCCAATTAGGGCCAGCTCTAGTACAGCGACACATCAGGAGAGTACACGAGAGCCAATCTAAACACACTTGCTCTTATGACGACTGTGATGAGACCTTCATGAACAAACTGTCCCTGTCCCGGCACTTGTACCATGGTCACGGAGTACCTGTTAACCCTATGTGTGTGGAGTGTGATCTCTTCTTTACCAGTAAGTCTCGTTACTTCATTAGAAAGTATATTTATCCAATTAACTAACTGGCATCGGGTTTCGAGTTAGTTATTTTTAAAAAAGATGAATTTGAATTTTATCAGACAGGTGATATAATATTATGACAATCCAATTACGCACGGCTATGTTACGAATAACTAAAACCATTGACATGGTGTTATATATTATCAACTTAAATTCCCGTTTGAAATATAAAACAGTAATAGCATAAAATGCAAAGCATAAAATAACGAAACCTTCAAGCCCGCTTTAAAAACGGTAACCTATTCTGCAATTATTCAAACGCTAGATGCCGTGTAATGGTCACACACCATCTAATGAGATGTAAACAGATCGAACTTTTGTGCAAAATGCCAGTCGTGACCAAAAGGAGCGTGGGGGGGGATAGTACTGGACGGACGCTAATGGGGCACGGTGACTGGTCAGTGGTCAATGTGGTCATGGTAGTCAGTTTTGTAAGTAGAAATGCCCGAAAAATTGTGCTGTTGACCTTGATTCACATTTATTATAGTTTAACTTATAATTTTGGCCTCAAATCGTGCTCGGTGAAACAAGAATTCTACTGGATTGAAGGTATTTTGTTTGACAAAATGGACCCCCAAAAATGACCTCCCCCTTCCCATCAGTGCGGCACATGTTGTAAACTTTTAGTCAGTCATCATATTACTGGTCCGATTTCACGGAAACTTTTAGACAATGTGCCTGTAAACCACTAAATTTCATATCAATCTGAGATGAAATGCTGACGTTAGTGCTTGCTGAGGTTTTTTGTGAAACGGCTATGCTATCTGGAGATAAACATGTAATATATCATTCACTAAATGATTTTTCATTTCATTATGACTTTATATTTATATATATTATATAGATTAAATGATTAAGATAAAGTCGTAATGAAATGAGAAAAATAGTGAAATTGCTGTGAGGTTGGTACTGTTAGGTATTGTTTGTTACTGCAGTTGGGAGAAACTGTAAATATAGAAACTGCGGGTAATGATGGGCGTGGTGAGAAATATCTGGCGTAGAACGGAGTTAGTTCCAACCTATTTAAAGACCAGATTGTATCTTCTAGATCGGACTTAGTGGGGTTAATCAGAAATTATAATTTCGTTTCTGTTAATCTCTGTTTTTTAATTATGGAACCTTGATAAATGTACCATTAATGTGTCATTGGTTAATTTCATGAGCTTTTCTTTTAATTATCTAATTAGTTAATTATTTTCAGATCAGAAAGATTTCAGCAAGCACAACAGAGAAAATCACGCAGTAAAACCGGAGAAAATCATCAACTGCGACAAATGCACCTGTTCCTTCTCTGTACCAGGTTAATATTAACTTAATAATAATAACTTACTAAGTTGAATAACTTAACTTAATTACTTATCGATTAAGTTGACTTAGATGAATAAATAATGAAAATAAATGAAGCGCAATTTTTATCTCAATTGAGGATCGCCCAAAGAAATTGGTATTTTAATAGAGGATAAGTAGTGAGTCAACTTAAAGAATGTAGAATAGTTTAAAATAAACAAAAATTATTAACCAGATAATTAAATTTTCTGGATAAATTTCTAAATCATACAATTTATGAAATGAATGTTTTGAAACAAAAAACAAAAACAAAAAACAAACTAGTATAGCTGAAATAATAAAATATGCGTTAAATCCATCTGAAAGGGGAATCAAGGTTGACAAATACCGCAATGACAAAACCTTATTTTAAATGAAATTTGTCAAAACCTCTCAAATTCAAGTAATTGTTTCTTTGCTTTTAGTGTTAATATGAGGAAGTTAACAAAAAATTCAGTAGTACAGGATACCGGATTGTCGCTGATTGGAAACTTACAGTACTAGTACTAAGCACATAACATCTCAAAAAAACCACTGGAATATAATGTTATTTTGTCAGATGTATAATGAAACCATAGTTGAGGAAAACGCACTCAGCACACTTTTAAAAGGTGCCGAAATTTTAAAAGGTGCCGAACTTTTACCGAACTTTTAGCCGATAAAGTATAAATTACTTATTGTATCGATTATGACATTAAGATAATCCGATTATCTTAAGGGGGCCGGGGGGGCCCCCTTAAGATAATCTTGTCAGATGTATAATGAAACCATAGTTGAGGAAAACGCACTCAGCACACTTTTAAAAGGTGCCGAAATTTTAAAAGGTGCCGAACTTTTACCGAACTTTTAGCCGATAAAGTATAAATTACTTATTGTATCGATTATGACATTAAGATAATCCGATTATCTTAAGGGGGCCGGGGGGGGGGGGGGGGGGGGGGGGGGTCTTCATCAAAATTCTCTCGAAATTGACTTTATAGTTGTTTCTAGTAGAAGGGAGTGATATCTACCAGCTGCTTTTGGTCCCATGGAAAAATATTGTTCCTAGCCGAAATTATTGCCGGTCTAAGGTCAGCGCTTATGTGTAATTGTATTGCGCAAGCGATTTTCAATCGCAAATTCTGAAAATCGAGTCTAAATATCTATCTTCTCCTACATTTTTTGAGCAATCACCCTGAAACTTTCAGGATATGTTCTAGGGACCATTTAGAAGAGATCGTTCAAGCCAAAATTTTGAGATAGGCCTTTAAAATTTTTTTATTAAATTTTGAAAATCTTGGACCTCGTTTTTTTACGATTTTTTCAGGTCCAAGTTTTCAAAATTTAATTAAAAAATTTTAAAGGCCTATCTCAAAATTTTGGCTTGAACGATCTCTTCTAAATGGTCCCTAGAACATATCCTGAAAGTTTCAGGGTGATTGCTCAATAAATGTAGGAGAAGATAGATTTTTAGACTCGATTTTCAGAATTTGCGATTGAAAATCGCTCGCGCAATACAATTACACATAAGCGCTGACCTAAGACCGGCGATAATTTTGGCTAGGTACAATATTTTTCCATGGGACCAAAAGCAGCTGGTAGATATCACTCCGTTCTACCAGAAACAACTATAAAGTCAATATCAAAAGAAATTTGATGAAGACCCCCCCCCCCCCCCCCCGGCCCCCTTAATGAGCTCAACTGACTCTAATGTACTCGATTGTATATTTTAATGAATTAGGAATTTACATACCGAATTTTTTCCGAACCGAAATAATGTGCTGAATTCAACGAACTTTTTACAACATTTTGCCGAACTGCCAAACTGTGAATGAAACGTGCCAAATTAGTAAGTTTTATGAAATTTAAATGCTGAAATACAGGTGGTATCAAAGTATCATCAGCAGAAAATGATTCTGATACTGCGGATTGCACTGTTAGTCAATACTGAAAGTGGTAGATATTACAGGTGACAATATTAATATTGGAACTTTGTCAAACTTCAAATTATGCATTAAACCCACCAGGGTTGATGAATACCTTATCAAATAAAGTGCCACATAACCGGACGCGGAGATTCAAATGATACTCTGTTTTAGGTTTCTTGGTGCATTTTGCGTAAAATAAACGTCATGTAAACGTCATGTAAACGTCATGTAAACGTCATGTAAACGTCATGTAAACGTCATGTAAACGTCATGTAAACGTCATGTAAACGTAAAATAAACATGAAATAACCGTCATGTAAACGTAAAATAAACGCGAAATAAACGTGAAATAAACATGAAATAACCGTATCATTATTACCATGTCAAGCTGAGACCAGTAAAGTAAAGTGAGACTAGATACTCTTGTCACATAACCCTTGTGACAAGCCACTGAATGTCTCCACAACAATCTCAACCTGTCAATTTATAACCAGTTCCAGTAAAGATGCCTGGAAGTGGTAGATATTGGAGGTGACAACACTTTATAAGCTCTTGATATCACTTGACAACACAGCACGTGATTATATCACGTGACATCGCGTTGTGTATCACGTGTATCACGCGTATCGTTGTGTCTGTGATCTTCAAAAACTTCGGTTCATAATCATGGTGCTTTGTGTCCTTCATCTGTGACATTTTAAGCTATTCCAATCTAAAGTATTTTTTCCTTTTCACCCTTTTGAAAAAAGGCAATAGTGAAAGGTTACGAATGGAGGTTTTTGCAGAAAAACGTGGATTTTGGAGATTGCCGTAGGTGGGTCTGAATATGTCGTCAGTCCTTCCTTACTTCCGTTAGTAACCATGTCAACGGAAAAGCCGCGCGCATGCGAGAGGATTGCTTGCGGAGATGTGATGTATAGATAGCCTGTGATCTATGAATGCGCGGCGCAACAGTGTTTTAATGTATACGATGTAATGTATAATATTAGGTTATAAGCCCAATTTGTACGTGGCACGCGTAGTGTATTGATGTGTACACGAGTATAGTTTACCTTTGCTTACAATTTAAGTTATTTGCTTTACAAGTTAAGTTCTTTGGCAATTGAACTAAATTTCAAGTGTTTCCTGTACTTAATGCATAATTTATCAATATTATTATCATGAAGATTGAAGTGAGCTGATTGGAGCTTATTACTTAAATTTATAGTAAATGTGAAATGGAAATCTAGCGTCCGCCAAAACGAAACAACGGGCGCAATTCTTGTTAGTTATTATATAATATGTATTAGTAGGTGATAATCAATAATTATTTTGTTTCTCGGATTTACAAATTTTTGGTATCATGGTATAGTTCTAACGATGATGAGATCAGAACACACGGCCATAATTCTGGGAAAACTTGCATTGTTGGAATATCGTGATTTTAAAACGGCATTGAATCAAAAAAAGTGTTACGAAAAAACGGCGTTATTTTGCTGAAATTTGGGCTCAGCGTCGGACTGTTTTCAAAAGCTCATGATAAATTGTAATAAAATGATGCAATCATGAAAATTTCTGGAATCTATGTACAAATAACTATTCCAAACGAAAGCATAAAGTATGATAAGTTTACAAATATCCGTGTATTTGATAAACGCAATAATATAAGTCAAGTCAGAAACACGCCTACTCGCACACATTTTGAAATATAACTCCAGCTAGCAACGGCGCAAAACAACCAAACTTTCGGTGAAATGGTGCCCACATGTCTGTGGAACGCGCAGTAGAGCTATCGCACGTGAAAAATGTTTCAGTCAATCTACCTTGTTTGGCGCGCTGTTTCGTTTGCGTTACAAATTTTGACCTTGTACGCCATTTTGTCGCCATTTTGTCAATTTATACGTAATTTCGTAAATTTCGTCAATACCACGTTTAGCCAAATTCCACAGAGAGCTTATAATTTACTTCCAACACGAAATAAACATTGCTAAGGCCATGAAGTTACCTAATGGCTACTTTTAACGGAAAATCAAGTCATTCTGTGACATGTAGCGTCCTTTTGTCACTTAAATGGATGACGTTGACTCTAGAACATCGTGAAACTTTCCATCAGTAAAGCTAAAAGTATTTCCATTCTAAAAAACTTTACTTCAAGATAATTGCACGAAAGATGAATAAGTGTCTAAAGATCCATTTGATTGAACTTGTCTTCAACTTTTAAGCTGTATTACGTCTCGAAATAAGCGATCGACCGCGCAGGATTACCACCTAGTATTAGACATAACGTTAGTTATCAGTTTATCGTGCACATTAAAAATAAGTGTTATATTTTAATTATAGTAACGATTTAACAGATATCATTCTGTCATTGGAGTGTGTACTGTGTCTAGACACAAATGCTTACTGATTATGATAAGTTCTTTGTTCAGATGAATTGTGCAAATTATAGGAGCATATTGAACCTGTCGCTGTCGTTTGCGACATCTTGCGAAATCTTCACCAAGATGATCTTGGTGGCAACGCAACCCACGAAGTTCAATCATCTTTGTGGAACCTTTCACTGTTGAAAATAAACAACGTTTTTATAAGAACTCCGCCCACTCGCTCGCTAAGCAATAGGTTTAGCTTTACAAATTGTCCCTTACGACATCGTATTGGCTGAACGCAGTAGAGTTTAATCATAATTTTGACACCTTTAGTTGACCTTTCACTGTTGAAATAAACAGTTAATGATCTTAGTGGACGAGTTTTTCTTAGATCATCTAAGAAAAACTCGTCCACTAAGAAATTCTAACTCACTTAACCATTGCAAATAAAAAACGATAGAGCTGTCAAAATATGACAAATATTCTCTAGTCAATCCTTTAACACAACAACTGTCAAAAACACTAACTCGTAACTAAGAGCCCCATATATGCTCCCTTTACTCAGGTGACCTTCTGAGACATCTGCACGATCTTCATGATGAGCCGCGCAGGCAGTACTGTGAGAAGTGCGACAAGTACTTTGGGAACAGGAAAGCGCTGTACAGACACAGAGTCTCCGTTCACGCAGCAGGTAGGTCGTGTTACCGTGGTGACGTCACGTGTGTTACCGTAGTGACGTCACGTGATATTTTTGGGAAGTCATATTTGATGCGATTATTTTGATGACGACACGTGATATCAAGAACTCAAGAAGATTTCACATGATTGTTTTAATGACGTCACGTGGTTAATGTGAATTGCTGTTCAGATAAAGAGAAAGATTTAGAAGAGGAAGAGGAGGAGGAGGATGAGAGTTACATTCTTTATAGGTAGAACTTTACATCGTTACGTAACTGATTTCTAATAACACAAGACATATTATTATCATTTACATTGATTGCCATTTGGTACATAAGAAAGATTTTGAGAAACAGGTTGAAAGATATATTATTATTATTAACCCTCCTCGCCTACATTGATATTATGATACAGTTCAGTAATATTAAAATAAAAACTGGCAGGTGTCTGGAATGCAATATAGGAGAGTTCCCCAGCAAAACAGGATACATGAACCACATGAGACTAACTCACGACCAACACTGGGATACTTACTGCTTCAAGTGTGCTGCTCACCAACCGGTAATATATATCTCTTACTTGTTATCTTCAGATCTTGTCACGTGACGTCACTGGGGAGCTCACGTGACGTCACATTGTCATAGAAATCATAAATTGCGGTATCGTGACTGTCATGTTGTAAGCCATTGAGAGCTAACATTTTAACTCAGCTTCAACAACTTGAAATGAGCATTATATATACTAGCAGGAACCCGTATAATATAACCCTAAACGGCCGGTGTCAAGACTCAAAATACTAAAAAAAAAAATACTAAAAGCACTTGCTATCCCTCCAAAATCGAGATGACCCTAATACATGGTAACTAATCTATATTGTATCTCAAACTCTACATCCGGTACGGCTATGCACACATGATATCTCTCTCTGCCATGAAACATGGCTAACCTTTTAAACTGTGATTCAAAACCTAAAGCTAAACTAAAACTCAACTGGGCTCTCCTTTGTCACCAAACTAAACCAATAAGTAATTTAAGATTATTATATTTTTCTATATTTGTATACTGTAATTAGTATATTGACGTAGTGGATGGTTGAGGGGGTTTCAAGCACAGGTCACTCTCAAATCCTAAAGATAAGCAGTGGCCTTCGGCACTTGAAACCTCTTCAAAAGTTCAAACCTCCCCTGATTTATTTATTATTGATATTGTTTGATTGTGCCGTAAAAATAAATATTTGTTTTATTAAATATTTGTTTTATAATTAATTAATTAATTTTATAATTATTACCTATTTAATTGGCGTTTTTGACACCACTTGGGGGTCCAAATTTTAGGCTCTAAAATCATTATTCCTTGGCCAATTTTTTATTTTTTCATGCTGATTTGAAGGCCATTAAAGCATTTGACCCAGCCAAAAAAGTTCCAGTTGTATATCTTTTACGGTTTTTGCGGAAAGTCGCGTTAAAGTTGATGCCGTGGTGTCAGTAAAATGGCACAGATATATATATATTTTGTAGCTGTACTCCTACACATTAAAAGTCGGTGTTGATTAGATCTTCGAAATAAGTCTTTGCATCATTTTATTAAACATCGTTATCTGAGATAAAATTGTTCTAAAAGCAACTGGAATATTCACAAATCTTTAAAATAACTTACAAACTAGGAAAGGAAAACAAGTCTTAGGAAGACGTACAAAACTATGTGACTTAAAACGGTACAAAACTAAAATATACTTAACTGTGTAATAATCAAACGAAAAGAATGGCTGTGTACATTTTATCTAATCTATTAAAGATTAGTTTCTCGGAAAAAGCTAGATTTCTCTGAATCAAGCAGTAAAAATATATAAATAGTAATGAATATGACACGTCTCTGATAGCAATATTGTAAACTAAACACGGGTTTATAGGCTGAGATCATGTCAAATAAAATAAATAAACTAAACACTAAGCTCCAGCGGATTTAAAAAGGATGTGGTTACTATCGAGGGTGTTCATACCCCCATAACGCTCAAGGGTTTTCAATTGGGTCTGGTAGAACCCCTCTCTAGCTTCCATGGCCTTTTCCCTATCTGCTTGACTTATTTCAGGTTTAAATTCAAGAGCGTCCACTATAATAACAGAAAGGTGCGTACTAAGTGAAGAGTTATATAAGGCTACTGAACTAAAATCTAAATCATGATCAATATCTAAAAAGTGATTTACTAACTTACAACTTCTGATACCTTTCTTAATGTGGCTCTTATGATTAGAAAATCTCTTAGGGAGATTAGAAGTAGTATATCCTACATACGACTGTTTACAAGTTCTACACTCCATTAAATAAATAAGGTTATTACTCTGACAAGTTATATATTTAGTAATAGGGAAAACTTGTTTGGAATGGTGACTACTAAATTTGGAACAAGGGGACAGGAAACTTTGCTTACAAACATAGCATTTTCCACAGGCATGGCACCCTGCGTTGTCAGCCTCCCGAACAGCCGGCAATATTGCAGCGTCTGGTTCAAGAAATTGACTAACAGTGGCTTCTCCATCTCTATCACTACTTACAGTTCCACTAGCACGATACTTATTGTGTACAAGCATGCCACCGATAGTTTGATTCTTTCGGTGACTTACAAATACACTGTCAGCACGTACTAGCTTCTTCAAGGCTGGATCGAGATTAAGAAGGTATATATATATCGTCTCGCTTTATATATAGTAAGATAGATAAATATATAGACTGGAAGATTATTACTAAATCGAAGAAATATAAGGCTGGAGCGGGGCATTGTGGCCTCTGCTTAGACGAGAAACTATACATACTTAAAACCCCAGGCATTATTAATAAAAGATCAGAAATTATTTCTAAATGTAGGCACTCTAGGAAATTCTTAGTTAGACATATTTAGTTAGTATTTATTAGTTATTAGGATTTGTAGTTATTTATATAGGTTTAGTAGTATTGAGTAATTGTTAATTGTTAATTATAAAATTTGATAAAGGAGCACTGTGTTGTATTATGTTTGCCATTTTTATGTTAATTATGTCACTGAAGATTGCTTTTTAAACATGAAACTTATAGTTTGACAATTGCATAGTTTGCTTTGTACCGATATTTCATGCTCCTAGCTACAGCTAGTAGAGCCCTTTTTCTATAAGAGAAGAAAACCAGTTGCAGTTGTAGATAAATATATATATATATATTTATCTGCTGACAGTTGCTTGGTATAATATCGTCTTAAATAACGTCCTTACTCAGAATATATTTACAAAACCTTTTCTTTCAGACTTCTAAGCGCCTACTAAAGCACATGCGTGAAGTCCACAAAATCCCGTTCTTCTGCGCACGGTGCGAGCAGATATTCGACAAGCGCAGCGCGCTGGACAAGCACATGAGAGAGAAAGACTTGAAGAGGATAGACACTTACTGTGAACCATGTGACAAGTACTTTGAAGAGCTAAGAGGGCTGGAGAGGCATCACAAGACTATGCATAACACTTCTGAGAGTGTTTACAGTTGTAATACTTGCAATGAGGTGAGTTTGTTAAAATTAAATAATTGATCCGTTAATTAATTAAATATTAAATAATCGAGTGAAATGAAGGGGGATTTTCATCAACTTATTTAGATTCGACGTCTTTTGTTATGAGTGTACAAACTAAAGAAAACATACAAAATTTATGGCGAAAATGGTGATGATCCCTGGTAAAACGAAACAAAATAAAAAACGATCGCTTTAAAAGGTTTAAAGTAAGGTCTGATGTTCGAGTTCTACAAAAAAATTCATTAAGATTAAACATGAGCTACTAGGATTTCATATTAATATCAATTTCACTTGGCCTATACCGGAACAAGCTTTGGACACTGTCCAAAACTTGTTCCTGTACAGGCCAATGGACTGTGGTTTCATGGACAGTGGTCTTAATTTCACTTATTTGTATTCGCTATCGTGGCTTTAAATAGCCTCCAATAAAACATAACCTGCTATAATAATGCCCCCACAACTAACTTGAACCCCTGTCAGGTATTTGAGTTCCTCTCAGCGCTGGAATTCCACAGAATGAACGTGCACAACGAGCGAGTAGAAACTATTTGCGAGATATGCGGACTATTCATATCAGATGCTAAACGGCTGATGAAGCATTTCAAGAGTCACACAGACCCTCGTGAAGATGATCAGGAGAGTGAGCAGATCACGTGTAGTCTCTGTCCCTCCGTCTTTATCAGTGAGTTTGTTACTTGTAGTCTCTGTCCCTCCGTCTTTATCAGTGAGTTTGTTACTTGTAGTCTCTGTCCCTCCGTCTTTATCAGTGAGTTTGTTACTTGTAGTCTCTGTCCCTCCGTCTTTATCAGTGAGTTTGTTACTTGTAGTCTCTGTCCCTCCGTCTTTATCAGTGAGTTTGTCCATATTTCTGCTTGTGTATAGATAAGCATAAACCTAGCAGTGTGTTTATCTGTGTTCCTTTATTTCTGTGTTTCTGTGGTTCAAGTTTCCTCCTGCCTTTCAGTTTTAAGCTGCAATACTAAGTTAAATAACTGACCCCCGCCTTCAACCAGGAAAGACAGCATATAGTCGGCATCTCTACGAGACACACGGACAGGATGTTGACTGCCGGTGTGCGCTCTGTGACAAATTCTTCATAGACTCCACTGCCCTGAACCGGCACGACAAGCGCGTGCACGGCATGGTAGCAGAAGAACCCCACTGCGCAGATTGCGAGCTCTATTTCTCGCGCGTCTCCCTCTACAACCGTCACAACCACGAGAAACACGCAATGGACCCGGAGTTTTACTGTGAGACTTGCGACAAGTACTTTGATGATAACCCCAAGTTGAGGCGACACAAGTGGCAGGTCCATGGGGGCACTGAGGCTCACCTCACCTGTGATGATTGTAGTATTGAGTTTAACAGACGTTCTCAGTACAACAGGTTAGAGTTTGGAGAAATTGTTAAAAAGAAAAAGAAATCAAAACAAAATATATTTTAATAACAAAACAAAACAAAAAGCAGAGTTAAATCACGTGCAAAATAAAGGTTGATTACTCACAATGGTAGTGAAGTGAAAAAAGGGAATGTTGAAAACACTATAAATAGTCGAGAATAGTTAGGATTTGCAGCTCTGTAAAGCATGCAACTTAAAATAGCTCCTAAGTACAAACTTAGAAACCACCTAGTAGTAGTCACGAAACTGTTTAGCGACTTAAAAGGGCGTATAAAAATAGATTCATACACAAAATAGCTTTATAACGTATTTTCAACCGCTGAACCTGATTGGACCAATTAATACCGTGGATCAGACAATATTAGACGATGGTGCTGGGTGTCACTTGGCTAAACGTTCTTGAATCGTGACTAAATTAACAGTAAGACCGGGTATAATTTAAATACAACAGAGTGGTGTGCGTGTGTCACGTGGCAGGATAATATTAATTTTATAGCACGGCTGCGAAATATTGACCTCTAAAAGCCCGAAATTGCAGTGTTATTACGGCCTTTACGCGGCTGTTTGGTGTAGGCGGGAGGGGTGTTTAATTTTCCTTTTCAGTCAAAACCTTTTGGGAGAAGAAAGTGCGATCGTCCATTTAACACCAAAGAATACAGCATTTTTATACTTGTATAAATTTCGCATATTTATTTACGCTTACTTTATTAATAGGCCTTGTTTTAAAAACAATCCTGGATCGTTTGAAAAATCTACTGACTTATTGCATAATATTCACTCTACTGAAATCTAGGACTTAAATGTCACTATGACTGGGTAGCGGTACACATTTACTAGAATAAAGTGCAATGATGCAGTTCGACCATTTAAAACCGAAGAATATTGCAAATTTGTTAAATACTGACGCGAATGCTCAGATAGTGCGCAAAATTTACTGAATATTTATTTTATAAGAGATATAGCCTATATATTATAGGATATATCTCTATAAAATAAATATTCAGTAAATTTAAGTATATTATATATTTATAGGACTCAAGTCTTACTCGGTAAATTATTGTTCATATCGTTGATAACGAGTAACGACGGTGAAATCTAAATAAGCTATAAATTATCTCTAAATTAAAATGCCTACAATCTTATCAACTTACTCAGACATTCCTAGCATATTATTAACTTGATTAATCGTTATTTAATTGCCTAATTAATTAATTAATAACTAACCATATTACAGGCATCTGCACGAGAAGCACGACGACCCTCCTGTAGACTACTGTGAACTGTGTGACAAATACTTTGATGATGGGCGGATGGCTGTCAAACACATGGACTCCTTCCACGCAGCTGAACAAGGTACGTTGTAACACGTGACCACGTGACCAGTACGTTGTAACACGTGGTACAAATTGTCAGTCACGTGGTTTTTTAGAGTTATCACGTGTTGTTTTGGATAAAGCTAGTAAACATTAGCAGGCATCATGTAGCCGGTGGGCCCGACATGATACGACATATCTCGACACGTCGGGGTTTGTCGGGGTTTGTCAGGGTTTGTCGGGGTGTGTCGGGGTTTGTCAGGGTTTGTCAGGGTTTGTCGGGATTCGTTAATAATGGATGAAAAGTGATTAGAAGTTGCCTAAAGAAGATTGATCAATTGCAGTCACGGGCTGTTGATGAGGCTTGTCTTGTCTTTTTTTTCTTTTTTTTCCTTTTTTTTTAATTTTTAAATTAAAAATTTTTTTAAAATACCAACAATACCCTATTAGGCAACAATACCCTATTAGGCCTCATGTAGCCGGTGGGCCCGACATGATACGACATATCTCGACACGTCGGGGTTTGTCGAGCCTGGAGGCTACATGATGCCTATTAGCCGGTTACCCTGGACAGGGTGAACTACTTTTTGGGATTATTTCCTCTCAGTGAGTCATAAAGTAATGTAGTTTATTAACAAAGATTAATAATTAATGTAATTAATTAATAATTAATGTAATTAATAATTAATTACATGTATAATCACAGGTCGTATAATCTGTGAGCACTGTGACGAGCGGTTCGACAAGAAACACAAGCTCAACGAGCATCTAACTGTTATACACAGCATAGCTGTTGATTCTCACTGCGAAAAGTAAGTGTTTATTCGCGGGAAATCTGAGATTAAATACAACGATCATGGAGGCCACGAAGGGAGTTCTTGATACTACTATATACAAGTATTACTGGACCATTAATTTAATTAGATCTCCATCAGATCCCACCCTCTCCTCTCTTGTTTCTATGGTCGTCCCTATCTACAATATAAAACAAGGGGCCACATGAGCTAAGCACGCTTTAGTGGCCTATTTAAATCAGCTTAGTCGACTTTAGTATCACAATAAACTAATTTATAGTGAATTATACCTCAGCCTGTTGGCCCCTGTATATATTATATTATGCCTATTTTTCTTTACCACTTTACAAGCTAATAGACAAGAGGCCAAAATATGAGCAAAGTTTTCCAGTGGCCCCTTTAAACTGACAAAGCAAAGTAGCTGTTTGATTAATTAAGTTGTTCATTTTTAATTAATCAACTAATTTTCTCTCAGATGTCAGAAGTTCTTTGATGATAAGAATGCGTACAAGAGACATTTCAAGCAAGTCCACGGTAACACAGAGGGATGGGTTTGTGAAACGTGTGAGGAAACCTTCCCAAGGAGGACTATACTCAACAGGTAATCCATCAGTTACTTAATGACTTAATTAGTTAATTATTTTCAATTCCAACGTGCTCATAGTTATTCTAGGATGACCAATAATTATAGAAAAATTACTTGGAATATTTTGTATCCAATTGCCATCTCACCAGGCATCGGCACGAAGAACACGGTGAAACTATAGAAAGTATGTGTATTGAATGTGACAAGTATTTTGAAGACCCGAGGTCCCTGAAAAGACATATGAGATCTGTACATGATAGGCAAACTGAGTTCAAGTGTAGCACTTGCGAGGTAAGAAATATCGGCCACTTTATGTATCATGTAATAATTGATTGTAATTAATTGCAATGCTGTTAAATTCGCACTAAACGTATTATTAGAATTTAATTCGCGTACGAAGTTTTTTCTGAAAATTGCCGCACTTTAAAAAAATACGGGAACAGGAAATCAAGTGCCCATATCAAAATATTCACGAAAGTTGGCTTTGTATGGTGGAATATTGCCAAAACATGTGCTTCCCGCAACACGTGCGTGGTTACTGGTTAGTGACTAGCGTGGGTACTGACCAAGATCGCAAGGGGTTAAATTTAGGTCATACCCGAAGACGTTATGCAATGGAGTAAACTCACTTCTCTTAATATACTTGAAATTACTTTATTTCCTCTACAGTCTAGTCTATTTGTCGAGATTTGTAAGTTTGAGATTTGAAGTATAACGTCACAATTCACATATTAAACTAGATTATAGACTCGCGAATGCTGCGCGTTCCCACTGCCGCATTTTTACCGAATTTTCCGCGCATTTTTTGGCGAATTTAACAGCCCTAAAAATTAAAACTTGAAGTTGTAAATTGGCGAATTATTCGCGTACTTTCTGAGAACTCTAAATACGCCGTACTTTTTGACGAAAATTTGGCGAATTTAACAGCCTGTATTAATTGAGCGTTATTGGCATTAATTGTAACTTAGTTAATTAATTGCAACTTAGTTGTAACTTTATTGTAACTTTATTGTAACTTAATTGTAACTCAATATATTACATAACTTAATTGTAACTTACTTGTAATCTATTTAGGTAATTGAATTACAGGAAGTGTTCCCGTCCCGTAGTGAATACGACCGGCACTTGTACTATGTGCATGACGAAGAGGTTGTTACCATGTGCCTGGAATGTGATAAATTCTTTGAGGATGCCAGATATCTGAGAAACCATCTACGTGCTGTTCATGACTCTGTTGATAAAAGTGAGTATATCAGTCAGTCTGTAAGAGTGTCTGTGAGTGTGTCCCACTGTCTGTCTGTCTGTCTGTGTCATTCTAAGAACCTCTGTCTAAACTGATTATCAAATCTAAAAAATAAAGCATCCGACGCCCTTGCACCTTGGGTGCTATGGAGTATTATACGTATGCTCATAAGTAATATAAAGGCTTAAAGGCCCTGGTAATATAAAGGGAGGGGCTCACTGTTCAGTTTATAAAGTGGGAGACAGGGATTGGGGAACTATCAATCCACCTGTCCGTTAGTATTATCATAAAGTAACAGTAGTAACTCCATGGTACAATGTTAGTAACAGTAGTAACTCCATGGTACAATGTTAGTAACAGTAGTAACTCCATGGTACAATGTTAGTAACAGTAGTAACTCCATGTTACAATGTTAGTAACAGTAGTAACTCCATGGTACAATGTTAGTAACAGTAGTAACTCCATGTTACAATGTTAGTAACAGTAGTAACTCCATGGTACAATGTTAGTAACAGTAGTAACTCCATGGTACAATGTTAGTAACAGTAGTAACTCCATGTTACAATGTTAGTAACAGTAGTAACTCCATGGTACAATGTTAGTAACAGTAGTAACTCCATGGTACAATGTTACAAATTGATGCTTCCTCAGTCCTCATGTGGTAGCTGTAGATTCTCACTGTAAAAAGTACGCTTACATCTGTGTTAGATTTGTCATTAGATATTTCTAGTCTTTTATTGTTATTATAAGAGTAATATGATAGATGATTGGATGGGAAGAGGGATTTAATATTATGTATCCACTTGAATTTGATCATACTTTTGATTTTTTTAGTTTACTATGATATTACAAAGTATAAGTACAGCGGGCTATATAAGTCAGTGTGCGAACACTTGGGCATGTAGCATCTAGCCATTTTTCATGTTTAAGACTATGAAGTAAGTTTGCAGATAGCATACTGTAACTAAGCATTCGAGGATTCTGTCGCCAAAATTTGAAAATTCGATCGTTGGAAACCACGCCTTTTTATATTAAATTGCTTGCTGAAATAAATCCATTTTTATACATTGGTATAGAGGTCCTTATCTACATGTAGCATATGATTTGAAAACGTTTTCAACCATTTCACAGATTGGGCGGTCATCAGATCACGTGATACGACACAGCAATCAAGCTGTTGATAAGGTTGCACACTGTGCGAGGGTGCGGCTCGATCAAGTAACCCAATCCCCTGATAGCCGGAACTTAACCTGTAATGAAAAAACAGCCCCATATTTCCGCTCGCCCGAATTACGTAGTCACGTATCCATCTTAAATGAATGAATCCATGTTTTGAACTTTGTGAGTTTTCCACACGCCCACGAGCAAACTAATTGGATATTATCACTAATAAAACTTGTTTAATTGATCAATTATCTTAATAAGTCGGAGTCAGATATCACGGCTCGCCTCATTATAAATGCTTGTCGAACATTCCCCCCTGGTAGTGGTATAACATGCTCACTCTCTGCATATTAAGTGTTATGATTCAACCTTCTAATGAGAATCTGGTGGTTCGCCTACCATTTAGCTTTAGGTTATTCTGCAGCAGGTTGATTTGTGTTAGGAGCATTATGTTGCGTTTTATATCATATGTTTTGATATTATATACTCCACTATCTTACTTTGTGTTCGATTCTATATATTTGTGCTCACTTTATCAGCCCTTATTTTCAAATAATATCTTGGTTTTGATATCAACAACCACCAAGGGTACATCAGCTCAATGTCTTTTTCCTACGAAGCAAACTGCCCTTCTCTGACCGTTTCCTCAAACCCTCCCTTAAACCAACTAATGACGTCACGTGGCAAACCAATGACATCACGTGACAAACGTTTCATCGGTTTTATCTCCGGGGAATTGACCGAGATTGAAATCTCTGTACAGAAACTGGCACTGAAACAGCGGTCCCTCAGAGCCATGGTAACACACTACAAACGGCACGATTACGATATTGGCCGGATTATAGAACGTGCCAAACGCATGAAAGATGTGAAACTATTCGAAACAGCTGCTCTAGAATCTGTGGAATGTGCCTCACATCGGCTCAAACATTTCTCCAGCAGATCTAGTGGATCCAGTGGATCTAGTGAGAAGAGTTTCCAGGAGGAGATGGATGAGCTGGGAGAGGAGGACTAAATGAGGCATCCGCATGGAGACCGGTTGGAGATATCAGTTGGGAGCTCTGGAGGCAGTTCTATGTTTGGAAATAGTCGAGATTTTTGAAATAACTCGACTAAACGAATCTTGATCATGTTGAGAGTTGAGAATTTGAGACAAAATACAGCAGTGTTTTTAAAGTGGAATAATAATTGCAATTGTATACGTTTTATTATCTCGGGGTTATTGTATTCTTTGGATATTTTTGTTTGTTGTTGGTTTGGTAATTTCAATTGAGAATCACAGGTTTTGCTTCCTAATGTATTGTAAGAGGTCATCATTCGATAATAATATAATAACATAATTAACTTCTGACGAAAACGAGTTTAAACCTTAAATAACTTAAAATCGAACAAAGATTATAAATTCCAATTAATTAATTAATCAAACAGTATCATGCAGATGAGACGTATGCTCAATTAGACGATTATCCTCCGAATATTCATGATCGGTGATTGATATATTCTATAATATTCACCCGAATAAACGTAGCAAGACCTAATCGTGATCTGCAAAGCTGGCAGCAAATCGAAATCGAAGCAAGATCTCAGCTGAATACTGAGACATAATTTCCATCATAGCTCATGGAATGCGTTTATAAATTTAGTATTACAGTTATATAGTCAGATCTTTTACAAAGAATTTGCAAAGAATTTAACTTACGACAAATTTGCGACAAAATGGTTTACTTTGACAGCGTGATTGAAACGCAGCTTAGGCGTGACACCTAGCACACCCTCGCCACGTGAGTGTGGTCACGTGCGTGTGCTGAGAGGTCATGTGACAAATTTGAGCTTTCAAAGTGATAAATCAGGCCCTTTACTATTGTATCAACTTATCAAGCTCTTGTAAGTTGTATCAGGGTGTCAAGCCACAACTTCATTATACTGAAATAATGAGAATGTCAAATTCTAATCGAATACTTTGTGCACGAGTTGTAATCAAAACATCCCTACTAAATATCTTAATAGTTAATACGATATAAACCTCTCTCACTATAATTAGTTCTGGAGGGGGATATTTAAAACATATAAGTGATACGAAAGATTTTTAGTTAATCACTTAATTAATTAGTTAATCACTTAATTAACTCTCAGGTGGCCACGTGTGTAGGGACTGTAACCAGAACTTCCCTGGTAAAGTACCCCTGGACCGGCACAAGTACGAGGTACACGGTAAACGGATCGACACGCACTGTGAACAGTGTGATAAGTTCTTCATGGACACTACCAACGCTAAGAAGCATATGAAGTTAATGCACCCTATACAGGTTAGTTTATTAGTCAAGTTAATACTTAATATTATGATGATATACATGTTAGTTTATGACTTTATTAGTTGTACATGCAATTAATATTAACTTAAATAATCAATATTAAGTAGCTAATATTAACTTAAAAGTTAACATTGATTACATAATTTGTTGATTTAACTTTACATTAATTACCATGATTATAATTGTGATGGTAATAAAATGCTTACCACACACACACACACACGGTTCACAGATGCAGTACGCGTGTACAATGTGTGACGACATGTTCACTGATAGGGTGTCTAAAGACAGACACAAGCTCGAACACCACACTATCGGTTAGTCTTCATCAGAACTTACTATTGTAGCTGAGTTATGCACGAGAAGTTAAATAACACATAATGATATGCGCCTCTTTATTTTAATATCTTAACATAACTACTACCTAGCTATATAATATTGTCTTTAAGTAACATAATAACATACCTCTATAACCTAAACACCTTTGTCCTCTACATAGCTAAGTAAGGTATCTTTACATACTTTTACATACCTTACTAACATACCTTCAAATTTCAGAGCCAGATTTCATGTGCAAAGCATGTGATCAGATCTTCTTGTCGGCGTCTCAACAGAAGAACCACAACAGTGTTTATCATAAGGGACTAGAAATGAACCCCTCCGGCAGTGGTCTTAATTTTGTACGTTTAAATACTGAGATACGTGAGCAGGTGATACGGGTAAAAACACAAGCTGTTTTGTTGTTTTCGAACAAAATACTGAGAATTGAGATACGGGTATAATTCAAGCTGTTTTTATCGATTAAAAAATAATGCATGCCAATATTATTTTGACCATCTGGTATGGTTTGTCGTTTTTTCTAATCAATAAAATTGTATCGAAGATTTCTACAGAAAGATATTATACTTAGCTTGAGGCTGAAGTTAAGGGCATTATATGGTTTTTGGCTCATAAATCAGTCATTTTTTGTCCAATCTTGATGAAATTTCATATACGAGTTCAGGAGGGGGGAGGGAAGCAATGGGTATTTTTTGTGAAACTTGATTCATACAAGTGCAGAATAAATAAACGTGCAAAATAGATACACGTGCAAAATAGATACAATCGCAAAATAGATGCACGTGCAAAATAAATTATTTACGCACAGGATAAAAACGCATGTTTTCTGTGAGTAAAATTTCGAGGCAAAGTGTACGGATACCAAAAGCTGTACCAATGCGTTCAAACGTTGGTGCTATTTAATAAAGTTTAAAATTGTAAACACCCTGAATCTCTGTGCTTACGATGTCGTAAGGAGTGGCACCAACTTTATTGCAAAAATAGTCAGCCGAGAAATGGTTGAGAGTTTGATACGATTACAGCTCTGACTTTTGGAATAGTTTAATAGTTACCTGTCCAGACTTACTCACCAACCTACTTAAGATTAATACCTTAATATAAATTAACTGCATAGGTACATTATATCTAGGCACCTATAAAAACATATAAACGTCCTGCCAACTTTTAATACGTCAAATAATTTTAATATCCTGCAAGATTGCTCTCTGTAGTTATCCGATCCAATTCGTTATTCTATGGGCAATATTAATAGCAACTGTTTAACTGAGAAATGCGCGAGTCTTTTAATGTATCAAGGCATCTACTCAGTCCAATTTATTAAATCGAGCAGCACTTCTTTTAAGGGTATATTTTTGTGAAACTTGATTTCGAGATAGCAGTTGAACAACAAACTAGGACCAGTGACCGAAATTTTGAGGGGGTCCCACGCCCATATTTTGTACAAATTAGGCCCAATTTATCCAAATACCCTGAACATGCCCAAAACCCAGGTTTATGGTACTCTACTTGTAGCTAGTGATCTCCTGAACTCGTATATGAAATTTCATCAAGATTGGACAAAAAATGACTGAGTTATGAGCCAAAAACCATATGCCCTCAAGTTCAGCCTCAAGCTAAGTATAATATCTTTCTGTAGAAATCTTCGATAAAATTATATTGATTAGAAAAAACGACAAACCATACCAGATGGTCAACATAATATTGGCATGCATTATTTTTTAATCGATAAAAACAGCTTGAATTATACCTCAGTATTTTGTTCGAAAACAACAGAACAGCTTGTGTTTTTACCCGTTTTACCTGCTCAACTGGACTATTATAAATGATAATATTGACGTCATAGTTTGGAAAATCTTATTTTATAATGAAAAAATTTAATGGTTTCAGGTGAAATTTTAATTAAAATTGCATGTTTTGGATTCAGTAAGATAAAAGCATTTAACACCTTTATTTTGCCCTTAGAAACCCCTAACTGTACATTATTTCAGGAAGGGTATCAGGACTTGTACTGCAGTCTGTGTCACAAGTCATTTGAGGATATCGGCAAGTTAACCCGTCATCGCCGCACCATGCATAGTAACCATAGTGATGATGAGCAATACACTTGCAACCAGTGTCACGAGGTTAGAAACTTAGTTTTATTTATTAAATTTAAAATTTTTGGATTTCTTATTTTTTAGATTAGTAGTAAGTTTAATTGTTTATTTTATTAAGCTATATATTTTACCCTGATTTATGTTACAAGCTGTTTCTGAAACTTGGTATAATTACAGGTATTCAAGTTCAAGACTCAGCTTGACAGGCACAGGTACAAAGTACACGCTGGCACTGGCCCCAACATGTGCCATCTTTGTAGTAAACTTTTCGACGACCCCGCGCGTCTCAAGCGCCACGTGCGCGCCGTGCACGAAAAACCCCGTGAGTTCCGGTGTCCGAGTTGTGATGACATCTTCCATCAGAAGATGCACTTAGATCGGCATCGTTACAAAGTTCACGCGGACCCCGGACCCAATGTGTGCACGGAATGTGAGAAAATATTCGATGATAAGAGCAAGCTGAAACGTCACGTGCGGGCTGTCCACGAGAAATGCCGTGACTTTGTCTGTGCTAAATGCAAGAAAGCCTTCTCCGCGCAGATCTCCCTGGATCGGCACATGAGGAAAACACACTCTGACGCTGGGCCCCACATCTGCAAGATCTGCAACACTAAATTTGATGGTAAAGGTCTACTGAACATGCACATTATGTTTGCGCACGGGGACACGACCGCGCCCAAAAAAGAGGAGCCAGTTGAGAAAGAAAGCAGTGATGAGGAAGTGGAGGAGGAGAACAAGGGCGCTGAGGATGTGGAGGCGGTGCAACCTATAAAAACAGAGGAGGTAACTACTTGAGAGAGGGAGGGAGGGAGGTTTAGTTATATCAGCTTATACTGTTAAAAGACTTTTTATTATAATATATGCACTGCACATTTGTGTGTGTGTGTGTGTGTGTGTGTGTGTGTGTGTGTGTGTGTGTGTGTGTGTGTGTGTGTGTGTGTGTGTGTGTGTGATGTTAACTTTAGTGGACTCAAGGATTTTTATTGTGAGCTGTTAAAACTGTATTAGTTGAGTTTAGAAATATTCAGGTTATGAACCCAACATTCCACAAGCACACTTTATGAACCCATACTTGTTTATTTAATGAGTTGACGAGTGGTGCTGTTTAATTTTCAGATACTTAAAATGATTCTTGCCATGGTAATCAATTTTAAATTTAAACAATCATACAGTTTGAAGCTTAAAATTATTTAATTTGCACAGTTTTCAGCGTGTTTATTAATTTTCATTAAATAATAGCACATTGATTATGATAATATTACGTTCATACTTTATCATAAACTAAGCGATGTTGCGTTACATTTTCAATAATCGTGTGATAGTTTGATATATCCCAAGCATCAATCATAATCTACATTTTAAAAACTTACTGCGTGATTTACTGAACAACGCAGTACTGTTATACTTCGTGATATTAAAACATTTTTAAATCGTTAACAAACTTATTACCAGTTTACTTTATGTAATTAATCCGATAATTGAACGATAGGGCGATTATTTACTGGTATTTTTCTGAAGTGTCTCTGTGTTCTTCTCGGCCGATCGTAAGAATCAACTTCAGAATAATAATTTTCTGAAGGTTTAGATCCTTGAAAAGAAATTAGTTCTGCTAAAATTCTTGTATTATGAGTGGTATAGAATGTTTAAAGTCTTATACCTATATTATTATAGAATGTCAATTATATCCTTACAGTTATTATGATGACAGTGTTTTTATTATGATATTTTTGATAAACTGACTAATAGTTTATGAAAATAATTAATATTAATTTAACGTAACCGCAAACAGTCATAGTGCTTGTGAGTCATATGCAATGTGTAGTTGTATATCCTGTATCATAATAGAGAGAGTAATTTTGCTTCAAGTATGGAGAAAATGTCAGGCATAGGCAATATTGTTCGATTTTTCCTTTCGCGAAATCAAAATACAGGGTGGCCCATAAGTGACTACCCACACGCAACCTCTTAATAACTCACGTAATTCGTCTCCAAATTGCACCAAAATTTCAGAGATTATAGATATGGGTCAAACTTAGATTTCCTGAAAGTTTCGTAAGCCACGCCCAATTACAGTGGGCGTGGCGTGACACTCCCTCTTTTTCACTATTGTCTTCATAAAATGAGAAAGCTTTAAGCTAAGAACTCAAAATTTTTTGCACACATTTGGCTTGATAATTGAAAACCTTTCCAAAAGTTTCAAGTTCATTGGTTTAAATATGGCTGAGTTATGACCATTTTAAAATCCATCGGATATGTGATCCGAGCACTCAGTCAGTGATATTTGCACTCAATTAGTGATCTCGTCACCCAATCTGATCAAGAGTAAGGCGTTAGCGTGTATTAATGAAGTTCATTAGGCTTTGATTGGATACCGATGATGACTTTGCTAGAAAGGGAAACACAAATTTTTAGGATAAAAACCAGATCGTGACCTTTCAGGAAAAGCCGTTCTCTCCACCACTTCATCCGGTCTAGTAGAGCCCCAGTGAATTGCATTCTGGGAGTTGACATATCCGTTTATATGGCCTTGTCGCTGTACCAGATTTCGTCCTCAAAGTAGGGATCCACATTGTGCTTGGACAGGAATGTGTTGGCGAAATCTATCCTCGATTGGAAATCACGGTCCAAAAGTTTGTGTTTCTTTGTGATTCGGTAGGCCCGGTTAGAAAGGTCTTGCTTTAGGATGTATTATCCTATATGGATTGTGTCCACTATTTAAAACTCTACGATTATAAGTGAATTTTGAGGCCCACTTACGGTTCCATGTGTTTGTAATAGTGCAAAGTTGGAAATTAGGCGGGAAATGTGATGGCGTGTATATCTTGAAAACATGGCAACGCGCAATCGGTCACAATGTTGAAAAGAAGATCTCGTAAGCGCAAAATTTTCCAATGTCCTGTATATAGGAGTAAGTTGTCGTCAGTTCAGTGAGCCGCGCATTTTAAGCGCGCGATGCTCAAATTCGCGCCTTACATCGCTCACGCGTTCGCGTGTGCACACACTACGGAGGACGCGGTTTGACGGAAATTTGTTCAAGCCCTTCGAGACAATCATAACTTTATTCAGTCTTCCTATGACTATCAATTGATTACGGCCGTATCCAGAAGATCCAAGTATATCGCTTCTCACAAGGAACCATCTACGTAGTGCGTCTCTCTCTCTCTCTCTCTCTCTCTCTCTCTCTCTCTCTCTCTCTCTCTCTCTCTCTCTCTCTCTCTCTCTCTCTCTCTCTCTCTCTCTCTCTCTCTCTCTCTCTCTCTCTCTCTCTCTCTCTCTCTCTCTCTCTCTCTCTCTCTCTCACTCACTCACTCAGTCACACACACACACACTCTCTCTCCCTCTCTCTCTCATACACACTCTCTCTCTCTCTCTCTGTCACACACACACACACTCTCTCTTTCTCTCTCACACACACAAACCCTCTCTCTCTCTCTCTCTCTCTCTCTCTCTCTCTCTCTCTCTCTCTCTCTCTCTCTCTCTCTCTCTCTCTCTCTCTCTCTCTCTCTCTCTCTCTCTCTCTCTCACTCACTCAGTCACACACACACACACACACACACACACACACACGCTCTCTCTCTCTCCCTCTCTCTCTCATACACACTCTCTCTCTCTCTCTCTCTCTCTGTCACACACACACACTCTCTCTTTCTCTCTCACACACACAAACCCTCTCTCTCTCTCTCTCTCTCTCTCTCTCTCTCTCTCTCTCTCTCTCTCTCTCTCTCTCTCTCTCTCTCTCTCTCTCTCTCTCTCTCTCTCTCTCTCTCTCTCTCTCTCTCTCTGAGAGAGAGAGGGAGAGAGAGAGCGTGTGTGTGTGTGTGTGTGTGTGTGTGTGTGTGTGTGTGTGTGTGTGTGTGTGTGTGTGTGTGAGTGAGTGAGTGAGTGAGTGAGTGAGTGAGTGAGAGAGAGAGAGAGAGAGAGAGAGAGAGAGAGAGAGAGAGAGAGAGAGAGAGAGAGAGAGAGAGAGAGAGAGAGAGAGAGAGAGAGAGAGAGAGAGAGAGAGAGAGAGAGAGAGAGAGAGAGAGAGAGAGAGAGAGAGAGAATGAGGAGAATTGTCATCATAAACTTGTACATCGCGGATCAGATCCTTTTATGTTTTCGAGTTGAATTCATGGTGCAACGGAAAACGATCGGGTATCTTGGGTTCAGGGTTTTACTTTTACTGTTTAACTTTAAGACCATTCACCAATTTCAAAGAATGAATATTGTTTGCTTAAAGCGATGGACTAAGGCCAAAATTCACTTCCATATTTTTGTGATATAGTTAGTCACGCGATAAAGATATGTCCATGATATCTATGACTATGAGGCACGTGACTCTATAGTACGAACTTAACCTATTTCTCATATAGATATTCACCTGCTCATCCTAGGTGCGCTCTTTTGTAGAACACGAATGTAAGAAAATATTGCATTTCCTGATCCAGGGTGGTGGTACCCTGTATCAGTATGAAGTTGTACTGGTTGGGCTGTCTTGCATCACGTTGCTGATGTGTTGTGATCTGGTGAATTGGGTTGCACAAGTACTATACCCACCTAGCACGGACAATGCCGTCCAAACCTTCACGCACTCGCAGCTCGGTTGATTCTACGTCTGCGTCTGAAAGTTTATGTCATCGCTTGAGTTGTAGTTTGTATTTGTATAACTTTAGTAAGTGCGTACTCGTAGGATCTAAACTTCATTTCGTTGCATGAGGTTCGCTATCTTATTTTTTGTGGACAGATCAAATTCAAATTGCTCAAATACAAATCGCTCGAGTTTTATTTTACCTTTTTACTATAAACGCATACTAAACATACATTTTTGATTTTTCTGCATGGAGAGCAGCACCAAATGAGAGGTATTTGAAGCTAGAACCAGGGCAAGTATCATAAGATTAAGAATCGTTCACATATTACGTAATCACTTTTTGGACAATTTTTAACCCCCAGGCCATGCACATAGCTATTGAGTCAAAATTATAACACTAGCATAATCATTTGGAAACCCCACTCACCTCTCGGTTGATTACGTTATATGTCATAGGAGCAAGAACAGCTTCCTGCTTCATTACAGAACATAAAGAAAGACGCCTCTCTAAAAATAATCTACCTTGCTTTGTGCTTGTTCATTCGTTCATTTGTAAACGTAAAGTGAAAAGTATTTTGTGATGTTATGAAGTTGTCAATGTACGTGTCATAAAAATGCCTGGGATGCCTATAAATTTATTTTGAAATTAGCATTTCAATTTTTAATAAAGCGTAAAGGAGAACTATTGTATATTGATTACTCAAACATGACTTTCAACTTTCCTCTAATTCACTGCAGTCAGTGGTCAATTAAGAAAGAGATCCCACTTTAATTCTACGAATAATTATAAATTGTAAATATGACGGTTGAATTCCACGTAACATGTTTTAGTGGAATCCCAAAGTTTCTTGCTTTCATTTGAGCTCAATTGCACAGCAGTTTAACCGGTTTTGTTATCGTTTACTATCTCGAATGAATATCAAGTACTGAAGTTGAAGTTCAACTTGAAAAAGAGCAAAGTTGCGGTTTACACGGGAACCAGTTTGTGGTTTAAACCTTAAACAGGAGTAGATTGTGGTTTAAGAGGGGCCGGCCCTGTACTTGGTTTAATATTATGAGTATAACCTGCACACTGCACACTGCACAGTCCCTACTATACTCCCTAGTCTACAGCCACTAGTAGCTTAGTACAGGTACTAGTATCACTAGCTGTAGGCTATACAGTGTACCCTGATCACTAGTAGGCTTATGCCCTGCCTGCATTTTATACACCCTCTTAGTTTTATTATATACCAACTATATTCTATAACCCCCATTTTATGCGATTCACCGATTTTGGGGGTAATTAGTTCTGTAGCCCAAAAAATTGTGAGCCTCCTTATAAAGTTTTATCATTTATTGGTGTTTGTTGTGGTATATTCTTCTCGTTTAGGAGTTATTTACTGTATTTTATTTTTAAAATGTTATTGGACAAACTACAATGCAGTAACATTACTATTAGTGTAACACATCTGCAGGGTGTCTGAGACTATTAATTACTTATAGCTCATTATATCGTCGCTGTCCGTTTGTTTATTACACTGTTTCACGGTCTACAAAACAAATGACCTAGTATGTTACACCAGTAAGCTCCTGGTGAATTGAAAGTACAGTATCATGATCTTCAATCTTCATACAAACTGCATGCTGAATAGACCATTAGACCATAGTACAACAGTAGTATTGACTAAACTTACCTAAAAAACAGCGCAGGTTTTCCATTCACCATCTGGCACATATCACTATCAGGAAGGGGCCTTATTGAACTGAGCGTCTCACTCTCAATAAGTCAATACTCTATATATTACATTACAGCAGCGGAACGCTAGACGTTACATTTACAGTTACAGTTATCGCAACTTACAAAAACATTCTGTTTGCGCAAACTTTTAATATAAAGCTTTAAGTTTATTCCATTTACTGCAGCTGTACTGAGTACTGCAGGTACTGGTCATATTTTAAGAAATATTGTCTAAAATAATTTTATAGTTCGAACACAAGTTTTATAAATTGTATAAACTTGTATAAATTTTATATCGATGTATAAATTGTATAAATTGTATATTATGTGCAAATTTTCTTACACATTTTCTTACGCTAAAGCCTTCGAAAAGGTGGATCATTCCCTACTTCTTAAAAAGGTTAAGTCGTAT